AGGGCTGACATTACACCTACTCAGGGCCTGCGGGACAGTTACATGTAGGGCTGACATTACACCTACTCAGGGCCTGCGGGACAGTTACACGTAGGGCTGACATTACACCTACTCAGGGCCTGCGGGACAGTTACACGTAGGGCTGACATTACACACAGACATCGACCGTTCGAACGCACTAGCAAGAGAGAGCATTTCTCCAAAGCTGGGAGGGGAACGCAGAATGAGCCGTGAGCAGCAAGCAGACTAAAGCTAGATGAGACAGACCTTGAGGATGAGTGGGGACATCTGGTCCCCCATCTGCAGGACGTCCTCCAGGTATCGGATCAGCAGCACATGGGCTTCTCCTCCTGTCATGGCCAGGAAGCCCAAGGCCACCTCCACCAATGACAAGGCCTCGCACACATCACTGTAGGAGGGCAGCTCCCTGGCCAAGGTCTCCAGCGCCAAAGCGGTCAGGGGTTCCTGGGGGCGTGGAGGGGGGGGCGTGAGGGGGCTCAGTGCCACCGAGTAAACACACATCAGCATTCACAAGAGATGAACGTATGATGGGAGTAAGGATGAAACGGTAATAAAATTTAATATCATTATTATAGTGGCCAAAATTCACGGTTATCAGTATTATCGTGGTATCTTTAAAATGTGCTGTTTAAAAAGTACTGGCACACAAACTGAAATCATTCCACCAAGTTTTATGTTGTAAACCACAAACAAAATTAGCAGCTCTGTGCACTTTTTTTGGTTGCATAAACATTAAAATAATAGCATGGCCAATACCTTATGTGAACATACTGTATGAAAGCCATGTAAAAATAACATGAATTATCCCTGGAGCGCTGTCACTGCCCTCCACCACGTGCTCACTGACACCAAACAAACCCGTGTTGCATGTTGCCCCTGCACACCTGTGTCTGGGAGTCTTTCACTGATGCTGGATAGTGTTTGAAAAACTTGCATTAACCACAGTTTTAATGATTAAAATTTGAAACGGTAATACTTATTGTTGGGAATTTTACCATGAAACCAGTAATGGTTTCATCCCTAATTAGGTGTCAGAGTTAGGAACAAGACAAAAGTATAAAATTCCTCCGTAGCAAGTAGGAATCTGAACTTACCTGTCCAACCTTTCCTTTCAGATCTTTGAAAATGTTTTCATAGTTCCTGTCTTGCCTGTTCACTAGTGTAGGAATTCCCTGCAGAAAAATGTAAATCAGTCAGTGCACGCAACTAATTGCTGTTCCTAGAGCAGGGCATTGTGGGTACAGGAGGCCATCTGCACCTCTGCCTTTACTCACATTAACGGTGATGAGGGGCTTGCCCTGCAAGAAGCGGGTCAGAACCTGCTGCTGGATTTTGGGCAGGTCGTACTCAAGCAGCATCTCCTGGCCACGCTCCATGGTGTACTGGCAGTTGGACAGCACCAGGGGGGTGAGGTCTCGCTCCAGCTCGTAGTGGATCACGTGCAGGTCGGTCAGATCTGCCGGGCTGACCCAATAGCTATGCCACCGGCAAGGGAGAAGAGTGAGAGACCGCGGCAGCTGCCACTGTGCTCAAACCTTACACTGGAACGTCAGGTTCCTCCCAGATACAGACCTCTCCTCCCTTCACTCCTACATGTACATTAGGGTTCCCTAGATATCACATGACGTCAAAAATTCATACACCATTAGCTATGAGTAATGTTACCTTTCTAAACACATCAGAACAATGACAATTATTTATCAAATGTTCAACTATATGCCAAGCAGAGGTAGATGCAGGCAATGAAATGGGTTCTCTGTGAGCCCCTTGTAGTAAGTAATAGAAATAGGTTATAAAAAAAAAAAGTCAAATGGCATTTTTTTAATAAAATATGCAATAATACAAATTGATCACATAAATAGCCTGTTTACTCCCATCAAAAAAACTGAAAGTGATATCAAATTGTTTCAATTCCTGATGCCCTGTAATCAACTACTGACAATAAAAATTGCTGGTGTTCACTGGCGCCCTCACCTGGTCTCCTCAGCCGTGTGCTTGTCCACGGTGTAAATGAGATCATTGTGCAGGGCAATGAGGTAGCTGACCAGGGCAGTGGAACAAAGGCCCCAACCATTGCGTCGGGGGAGCAGGACCTGAAATTCACTACCGAGGTCCAAATCCTTCTGGCAGTATTCAGCAGGAATCTTCAGCTCACCTGCAGCCAGTACACACGGACACAAACGCAGACCGCGAGTGAAGAACCTGACGACGTGGCCTAAAATGCCCCCCCAAACCTTCAGTGGTTGTCAGTGTGAATCCCACCCCTGCTCTGCCTGGGTGTGCAGTTATAATGTTCTCTCCAGTATCAAGCAGGTTTGATCAGTCCAAAAACATGGGGTGTTTCTCAGTATATGTTCTTGACCATACTTGTGTTACCGTGTAGTTGTTTCACGTCATCTTCCACTGCCGAAGACCAGTTTCAGTGCTCAAGAACAGACTTACAGAAGATGGCAAAAATCCCCAGATGTCATTCTTACCTCGGCCCAAGTTAGCAAGACTGGTCTTGTCAAGACCACACATACAATCTTTGCATCCTTGGCATTGAGAAACACCCATGCAGTTAGATGAAGTGGCACCCCTAAATTGCTCATACTGCATAAGTGTGTGTATCTGTGCCCGGATGGACTGATAAGCCCTCCAGTGTATAACCCTGCCTTGTGTCCTGTGCTTCCATGAATAGCCTCCAACTGTTTGCCTCTTCCCAGTACCCAATACTAGATAAGCAGACAGACAGATGCACACCAGAATGTACCCTTTCTAGTTTTATAATTTTACCCATCCACGGTGGATGGCCCCTACACTGTGATATGAATCGTTACCCTTTGTGGACAGTGATGCTCTCAGTTGGTTCCACGTCGTCAAGAAGATCTGAACCTCTTTCTCATACCATGCTTTCAAGATCTCTATCAAATGGCAAAAGAGGAACAGTCACTTTAAAATAAAACCGAGTCTGACTTTAATGGAGGCTGAAGGTCTGGAGGTCATACCACACCTGATTTTTGGTCCTTGAGGAAATCTCTGATTGTGGTGAACATGAGGTCTGGAACATTCTGGAACTTCTTCACTAGATCCATTTGTAGTTCCAAAATGGCAGGTAGGAACTTTACCAGGCGTAACTCAGCCTCCTGAAAAAGGCAGATAAGCACTTCAGAACTGGCCACACAGATCGAAACTTTAATGGATGCTTGCATCTCAGGTCCAAATCTGGTTCAAAGCAACACAGAACATGTTTTGCTGGACCCCTGCATGACCTAGGACTACTGAGTCACATCACAGCAGCATAAAAACACAACATATCATCTTAACCCAGGGTTGTAATCAAGGGGGATCTGAAAGCTTATGGACGTCATTGTTCCCATAAAAGAAAAAAAAATGTGCCATCTTGCAAGATTCAGAGCTAATGCCCCTCAGGTCGACAACATTTATAGTCACAACCACAGTAAACATCTTTTACGGCCATCACTCCACCACTAGGTCTACAACTTTTACCATGACCACCAGCCCAACAGACCAGAGGTTGCTCTCATAAAAAGGCTGGAGATCCTGGTCCTACATTTATGTAAATTTGTTGCAATTTCATGTCCTGATCAGACTGCCCACCAGGGACCCCCCCCCCCCAAGACCTCGGACACAAATTGAGCACTAGCCATATCAGTCACCTTATTCAAGAACCTCCAGAGCACAGGCAGCCCATCTTTGCCATCGTTTTGCTCCAGGATGTGGGCCAGGCTGGACAAGGAAACCCTCTCCCTACAGCTCCACACAGCAGGCCCATGGATCAGGTTGTCTTGTGGCAGCGAGCTCAAAACGTCGCGGGGATCCCCAAACACGATCTTCAGCACCACGTTGGAGCTCACACGAGAGTCCCTCCTAATGAGAGCATTCACCTCCATCAGACGGCGATCCAGGTGCTGTGAGATCACAGAAGAGATCAGCAGAGTGAGCTACTGTATCTGCAAGTCCCTGTTATCCCTAAAGGGGAATCACTGCTACCACACTTTTGTATATGGATCTCATGCACCTGTTCTCACCTTCAGCTGAGGCGTGATGATGTTTGTGGCCACATCCGTCTCCCAGTTGTTTCTGGCCTCTTTTGTTGAGAGTGTGTCATCACCATTCCCTGAAGAAAAAAAAAAAAAAAAAAGAGAGTTACATTGTGGGGCCACTAGAGGCAGCTGTACCTCATGGCACCATACTTGGCTCGCCATCGATTCAGTTAGGATGTCTCACACTGGCCCGGCTGGTGCTGTTCCATTAGGTGGGTCAGCGTGATGTGGACAGTACTGACGGTGTCATCAACACCCTTCCCAAGAATCCCGCCCAGCTGCTCAAAGTCCTTCAACAGATGGCCCATCAGAAAGTCTACCAGGTTCTGATCCAGAAGCTTAACGATTTGAGCGACGTTCTGAGAAGGAAGGAGAAGGAGAAACAGGATGTGATGCAGCACAAGACAGGCTTGTCAGTGCTGCCCAGCCTAGAAATGCGTATTAACATATCGGAAGTTGCAGCAACACAGGGGGTATAAGAGGGGCCAACAAATGATATGTTTTGAGTCTGAGTGACAGGGGAGAGGTCAATCCAGAGGCCAATCAGCTTTCCGCTGGGAGTGGTGCCCCAGTGGCCCCGCCCCTGCAGAGAGTTCCTAGCAGAGGCACAGATGAGGTCAAGCCTGAGCACCTGGGGGTGGGCAGAAGCTCCCAGCAGCAAGGCCATGTGGGTGAGGAGCCTGATGAGGCCGAAGGGGGCAGGAGACATGCCCTTAGTGTCCTTCATGTCTGGGTTGTCCCGCCTGCTGATGGCCCCCAGAACGTGGCCCTTCTGGGTGCGGTCGCCCCTGTCGGAAGATGAGCTTGTGTGTCATACTGATACGTCACAGCGCCAGCCCCCACCAGTGACACAGGTCACGCTCAGAAACCACACCCCTGCCGGGGGCCCAGCTTACTGGATGTTGGCTATTTGGAAGCCTGATACCGGCTTGTGGTCTTTCCCTCCGATCTGCTCCCCGCAGTCCAGGCAGCGACTTATCTCCATGGGCTGGCCACACTGCGGAGAGAGGGGGGGGTGAGAGGCACTGACCTGTGGGCTCTCAGAGATCTGTGCACTGCACTGGAGGAGGTGTCTGCATGCATTTTTATAGAATGGTGGGAATGGTGCTTACCTCACCGATGGTACATGGGTGGCCATTGGGACAAACTGGAAAAGGAGGAAATAAGGAGGATGATTTATCATTCATAGCAAAGGATGAGCAGTATATAGTCACACTTCTGAAAGCACCTAGGGGCTTCTGAACGGCCGAGTGCTACATTTTGATGCATGACGGGGGACCGGCAGTACTCACAGTACCACTGTACTTGTCCTAAAAGTCCCCGAGCAACAGCGAGCATGTCATCGGGCATGGTGGGAATGAAGGCCATCTGAAGATATAATGCCATAAAATTTACAGTACAATCTGTTCAAGCACCAGCAGGGGGCACAGTCATTAAGGGTCGTCAAGGTTCGTTCAGCTCATATGCCATCCTCCTTTGTAACTGATGGGGAGAATAACACTGCAGCAAACTACAATAAATACTGTCATTTGCTTTATGTATGAAAGTGTCTTCTGAGCAGATGAGTTATCGGTAACTATGACTACACTGAGTCAACAAACCACTTCATCTGTACTCGTAATGAAGCCACAGTTAATTGGGTGTGGGGTGGGTTGGTGTGGTACCTGCATTTTGGCTGGATCCAGGGCCAGATGTTTGAGGGGCCTCATCATGCCATCATTCCCAGTGAGCAACACTGCCCCCAAGTGGACAGTTAGCTCCACGGCCACACGCTCCTTGTCAGGCATGCCCACCCTCACACGCAGACCACCCAGCCTGTTGTGCACGAGATTAGTGGCAAAGGTCCTGACGTTGGGGTCGATCAAGACCCTGGAGGTCTGGATGAAGTTCTCCAGAGTGAGGCATAGCTGAGGGAGCAAGATAATTAAGCAAATGGAAGGTTAAAGGAGAGCCACACAATGACAGAGTATTTCTTCTCGGATATACTGGGCACCAAAAACCCAGGACAGTTACCTACATATAATACCGTAAAAAAAATACCAATATTAAATTGACCAAAATGATCTATTCAGCCATTTGTGCAGCGCACTCACCTGCGGTTTGGGTTGGAAAGCTGGGTCATCGGCTTGGTAGAGAGAGGTGACCTCTCTGAAGAGCGCTAGGAGCAGGTACAATGTCTTCTTTGCCGGAGAGCTTCTGCATCTCTGCACCAAAACAAGGGTGACACGGCAAGCTGAAAGACTACACTGCACAAGCAGGGCTGGCCATGCGGTATGCCAGGCATTTTCCTGATGGGGTTGTGGGGTGGCATAGTCTGTTGTAGGGACCAGTTTTATCGTAGGTATGTCTGTGTGGTGAGTCGGTATGGGTTAATATCCAGGGCAGATTTTTAATCCCAGTTCAGCCCTGATTACAGGCCGAAATCGCTGAAGCCTGTTTTTCAGGGGCAGGCCAGTTGCTTTGGCTCCGAACTGGTATGCCCAGGGTCAAACAACACTGGGTATAATGGGGGAGGCATTAGAGATTCCAGCTGCATACCTCACACACTTCATCTATTCCCTCCATTTTGCCGTCCATCATGGCCGTGGCGACAGCCTCACGGACGGCCTGGTACTCCTCACCATGTACGAGATACTGGTCCATCTGCACCGTGTCCTTGCTCTAAGAAAAGAAAAAAACACATGCAAAAGTGTCTCCAAATAGTTTGCCGATCTCTTACGCGCTTACGTCCCACACACGGCCCACCCACCTGTTTCAGAATTTCGTCCGGAAAAAGCCATCTGAAGTCAGGCACCTTCAGAAGCTTCTGAACAAACTCGGCGCCCCGTTGGCTGCACAGCTTTCGGATCAGGTAGACCCGGTACCAGTCGTTCCTGCTCCTGTTGCACAGATCCACCACACTGCTCAAGAGTGCTGGGGTTGCAGCCCGCGCTTCCTCATTCACCCCCGCAGCTGGGAAATTCAAGACTTCAGCATCAGTAAAACGGCACATGCAGTCAATGCAAAACGAATGAAACTCAGGTAACAGGAGGAAAGTTCAGGTCCAGAAAGTACAAATCTAGATCAAGATTTTGTTTCAACCATAGAGTCATAGAGAACTCAACTGGTTGGTTGAAACAAAACCTTGGTCTGGAATTTTATTTTCTGGACCTGAACCATCCATCTCTGCTTGTAAAATATTCAATTTGCACCCAAGTAAATGATAAACCAACATGCACTATTTTCATACCTGGTACCCTAGACCAGTGTTCCCCAACACAGTCCATGTTTTTGCTCCCTCCCAAATCCCTACCAGGCAGTCCAATATTTTCATGCAACTCCCACAAGCACTTACAGTAGGTGCCAGTCCTCACTAATGATACTTAATGACCAGACCATCGTTTGTCTACCAAAATAATAATAATTAATAAATAAATAAACAACACTCCAGCTCATTCATATCATCCGTGGAAGACACAGCAGGGCCTTCATCCACAAAGACCTTCAAGCATACATAAAACACACCTCTAAGTCCATGCGGCATAAGCTATGCAGCCTAGACAAACTTGCTCAGTGGACCTGGCACAAGTAAGTTTTGCGGTAATCAAACAGGTGAATTTGTGGCCACATCTAGACCTGCCTGTTTGAGTTTGTGGGTCAGCCAGCTGGTCCACCAGCTGACGGGCTGCCATGTCCAGGCACAGCCGCACCCTCGCAATCTGCTGCAGGCAATCAATTGTCGCTGTGGGCGCCCCCTGGCTGTGGGAGCGCAGGAAGGCATGCAGGAAGTTCTTCTCATGCTGCAGGCACTCCCTGGCAGTCTGACACTGCATCCGTTCAAACATGGAGTCCTGCGATAGCCACGGGGTTAGGTTAGGTGCGGGCTGAAGGCGACCAGGTTAGCTGTCTGCAGAGGTGGGCATTTCAGGTCCAAAAAGTAAAAATCCAGACCGGGGTTTCGTTTCAACCAACCATTTGAGTACTCTGCCACTGTTACTCTTTATGCACAACTGGTTTGTCGAAACAAAGTCCTGGTCTGGATTTTTACTTTCTGGACTCGAAATGTCTGCTTTTGGGTGTCTGCCACACACACAAAGTTAAAGGCTTGTAGTACTAGTTAAAAAAATACAAAACTAGTTAAATCCAAGAAATGCACATTCCAACACTAACTCTGGTTAGGAGCCAACAGTTTTGAGTAAATTCAAAACCCACTTTCAGTTTCGAATCAGCTAAGTGGGGGAATTTGGCTAAAAATATGTAAGGTTTTACCATTTTAACAAATTTTAACAGTACTATTAGTTATTGGAAATAAATTTCACAGGAAAACAGTGTGTGACATGCTCCTACCTCTAAGCAGTTTATGTAGAGAGAATAAAGTTCAGTTTTATCCTTTTCTTCCAAAATGTTGCTTTGCTCAGTTTCTGCCAGATGCTTCTGCAGGTAATCTCTGACATCCTCAAAGCTTAAAGACACAGAATTTATTTTATATACTTTCTCCAGGGTAATTTACAATGTTTCTCCCTCGTTTGCAAGAAATACAATTTTTTAAAATTAGATTTAAAAATTCAATAATGGCGAAAATACGAAAAAAAGCTAATGTTAATTAGCTTGAGTTCCCTATTCAAGTTTAAGGGCATAAGTAACCAACATGATTTCCAAGAAATTCAAGCAATTAGTTTAGCAGAAGCTGGTTTTAACTGGCTCGCTGATTCTCGTCCTTTTAACTTTAAACAAACCTGCAGTTACAGCGACTCAGAGGACTCACCTGTACTTAAGTAGGAGCTTAAGGATGACTGAACGGACCACCGGATTTTTGTCCACGGAGTCATCGAATGGGGACAGGGCTTTAGTAAGTATCAGAGGTTGACCTGAAGGAGCATACAGACATAAACCACCTGTACCACTCAAAACATGAGGGATGGGGGCAGCCTGTAAAAACATGCATGTTAAGGGGGAGTGGAAATAACAGCATAAATACCAATGCATGATATCACATTGTGATATAATATCATGACATAATCGCGATTATATGGGGCACGCAGTAATCCAGAGGGCTTTAGACGGTGGGTGTAAATATTTATCTGGATGCCGCCTTTTCTGTATTGTACGGATGTTTACTTACACCCACAATTTGCTAAGCAGGTTAGTAGTACGCCTAAAAGCTGATATCGTGCAGCCCTAATCGATATGACAAATACCAGGAAATGGTTCATCATAATAAATATACATCATCCATCTAATTTCTAGCCAGTTATCCAGAACTGGGTTGCAATGGGAGCCTGAATCCTCTCCGAGCAAAGAGCACAAGGCAAAGGACACCCTGGACAGGTTACCAGTCCATCACACACATACCAGTATAGGCTGTAGGCAATTTTCTAGAGATACCAATTAGCCCAACGGTACGTCTTATGACTGCAGGAGTAAACTGGTGTACCAAGAGTAACACCTACTGACAGGGGGAAACATCCATTACACAGACACAGTGGGAGAGGGATGCAACCCCCTACCCCTAGCGGGATTAGATGTCTGTGCTAAAGGTCCAAATGGTGGCATCACTCTGCCAACCACGGGATTCAAACTGGTAACCTTCTGATCATGGTCCCAGAGTTCTAACCCACACAGCTGCACACCACCTCGGTGTCGGCCACTGCGCCACTGCGCTGTCCTCAACTTCATCATTTCTAATATTTCTGATGTTTGATCATTAAAAAAATAAACAGAAATGACTGTCAAAGCCTCAGTTACAGTATTTGTACAGTGACCCCCTAAGTGCTGATACCTACACACAATTAAAACAAAACTGTGTGCAAACACACAATGACCTGCAGGAGGCACTATTAGCAGGTAGACGCAGTGCTGGGAAGGCGGAGCTAACCCCGCATGATGGGAACAGCCTTGGCCTCCACCATGAGGAAGGACAGCAGGTGCAGGATGACCGGTCTCGAGGGGGGGCTGTTGCCCTTGAAGCACATGGTGGACACCAGGTCGATGAAAAAGGCGTTGCACTGCTTCCGGAACTGGGCATTCAGAATGATCAGACGTCTGCAGAAGTGCAACAAACAAAATTTAATTACAAAATAAAATGTAGACATGTAGATAACAAGGAGGTTAAACCTCGGATCCGGGAGGAGCAATGTGGATTCTGCCCTGGTCATGGAACACCGGACCAGCTTGTTACGCTTAAAAGGATACTGGAGCTTGGCCAACCAGTTTACATTCTGTGGGCTCGGAAAAGGAGTAGGATTGTGTAGCTCATGGGGTCCTATGGGGGGTGCTTCAGGAGTATGGGTTATGGGCCATTTGGTCCCAGTGTAACTGGAGCGAGGGCTTGGTTCACATTGCCAGCACAGTGGAATTGTGATTTAAAAAGGGTTTAAACTCAGGCTGTCATAAAAATGACTTGCAGCCTCAGGCATTACCGAAACATCTAAACCCATTGAGCTCTAAGGTAGCTTTGGATGAAGACGTCTGACTAAAATGATGGAATGGAGTGGCTGTCCACCGCAACTCACTCAATCTCCTTGGACACCTTCAGATGGAAGTCGTCGGGGACGTCCTGAATGCAGAGCGGACAGTACATCTGGCCTGGGATGAGCCACTTCCTGATACAAGCCAGGCAGTAGATGTGATGGCAGGGAAGGTCCAGGGGCCCCTGGGGGTCACCCAGGCACACCGGGCAGGACTGAAACCCGAACCTGGGGGAAAGACATGAAAGTACATATGAAGGGTCACAGTCCGGCTGCCACCACATGTGAGAAGCAAACACAAGGGAGTGGTTGTGTTTTGTTACTTGAAAATCTTGTCATTTACTCCATCCTTGCACTCCTTGAGAACGCGGATCACCGCCTCGAAGGGCTTCTCCGCTTTCAAATCCGAATTTCTCTCCAAAACCTTGACATGGTAAAGAGAAAAATAACCTGTTAGCAGTGAGCCTCTGCAGTGCATTTTTTCACCTTTGTGAGGTCTGTGCTAATTTAGGGCAGCTACAGGTTCGGGGAAAGTGAAAACATATGCAGTATGTAGCCAATCCACTGCTCGGGTCATACTTTGTCGTTACCCCCGGTGGTGAGTAAATAAGAGGAAATGGTGGAAAAACTTCTGCGTTTTATTCATCACCAACAATTTGGAACACTAAACAGGCTTATTATCCATCTTGAGCTAATGAAACGAGCCTAGATTTTACCACAGGCATTATCACTCATTTTTGGGCTGAAAAAGTCACATGACACGTTACAATTCGTTATGTAATAATGCCTCATTATGTAATAACTTAGTGTCAGTGAAGACATCCACCTTGGTTGTTTATTACATAATGCACAGTATTACATTATCATGATTAAAAAGTTCGACTCCCGCATTTTGTAATGACCACCGCAATATGTAATAATTTATTACAAAATGCAGGGAAATGCAATACATATTGCATTCAAGCCATCTACAAAATGCAGCTGCTATTACATAATGAAGTGAAATTTGCTATATTTTGTTGAGTTATTACATGTTGCAATATTACATAATGCATTGTAACAAGACAATTAAAATAGGTATAATGTGTAATATTTATAAAATATACAGCTAGCCCATGCTTTAAATAGAATAATTTCATGTAATTGTGTGATTTACATTCTTTCAGAGTTTTGTAAAATTAGTAACATAATGACAGCTCAAAGGATGCACCTGTGGGGGGGGGGGGGGGGGGGGGGTGTCACGGTTCCATCTTCCGGAACCACGACATGGATTCATGAACATTTATATGGTGGTTTAGGTCTCAGTTTCAGAACTGTGGCCAATGCAATAGTGGAATTTTTTTTAAATGAAGGAATGAAGGGGCTTATCAGGCTCAGAATGAGTGACGGCGATGGTGCTTTGTCTGAACGTTAAAGGCTAGATGGTTGTTTCTCATGATAAGTGTGTGTGTGTCACGAAAATATGCAAAATACGCAAAGGACAAGGATTACACAAAGGAGTGAGGCCTAGGTTGTGCGTTTTGTTTATTATGAGAAACTGGGGTCGTAAAAGGGTTTCTGCTAGAGAGCAAAGCTGCAGGATGTGATGGAAAGGAGTACTGGCTGGGAAGGGGAGTGTACAGGCCCCAGAGAAGACCCAAGGTATTAAAGGAAGATCAAGAGATCTGAACTCTTCAGATACGTCATGGAACACCTTTGCTGCACATGGTGTCTCCCTCAATCTGATTAAGAGTTAAAGAGCTCTGCAAAACCTCCCATCTCGGCCTCCTTTGTGACATCAGTCCACGTGGTGAGAGCAGCCCTAGGTGTTGGTAGGTTCTATGAAAAGCAAACGAAGAGTAATGAAACATGCTCACTTTGCCCAGCTTCTGGGTGTGATCCAACACCACCGGCTTGAGTTTGGGCTCCAGGTGCTCAATCCCCAAGAGCATGTGCTCCACAATCAGAGACAAGGAGAAGATCCGGTTCCAACCATTGCTATCAGAAGGAAAAGTAGAAACAGAAAGTGTCACCAAGCAAAAGAGCATTGAAGAGTATCCAATGATGGATCAGATCGATACCTTTTAACACATCATAGATTCTGAGTCTTTTGAAAAGCCCTGTGTTTTGAGTATCAATGACTATGAAATTATGAACAGACAGTTTCGCAGGGTAGAATGTCAAAGGCGAGTGTCTGGCTAGTAATTCTGGGCTGGAGAAAGTTTGAAGTTAAGAAGATCATGCAGAACTGAATGGAAAAAATTTGCACGTAAGGTAAATGGGGAGCATCTTGCACTGACCAACTTAACTGCTCCCATCATTTCTGTCACCACAGAACCAAGACTTAACATAAGATAAAGAGGAAGAACAATATGGCAAAAACCGACATGTGGTTCATGTGGTTCGAATGCTCCAGACTGACCGGACTATCTCCTGGCTCCTCCGTCCATAGAGTCCCAGTTTCTCCTCAGAGCAGACAAGCTCGATGGGAACCTGCAGCTTCTTCACCTGCCTCAGCCAGGCCAGCCGCCGCTCGTCCGTCTCCAGCTGAATGGGCTCCAGGTGCTCTACACAGGCCATGGCTGCAAAGACATCCACGACCTGGCCAAGGCACAGGATAAGGCTGAACTGAGGGTATGAAGTAACCCGGGGCAACAGCACACATGACATCACAAAAGAGAGAAGCGGAGCTGATTGGTGGCTCACAAAATTCAGAAATGCATCAGACGTCCCAGTTACAGGTAGGCTTCAGCGAGTGTCAAGAAGCATACAATCATATTAAATACAGGTATCCACCGCTTTACGCTTTTACAAAAGACCTACATTAGCGCCTGTTTTTGTTAACCAAAAGAAATCTGAAGAGGATTTTTGCTTTTACGAGAAAAGCGAAAATAGTGTCTAGCATTTGTTTATCAGTGAGTCAATTATAGACATACAATCAATGGTCCCATAACCACATTTGGTGGTCCCATAAGATAACAGAGCTGAAAAATTCCTAATGACCTAACATCACAGGGCTCACAACAGCCAAATGACGCATTTCTCAGAATGCATCTCTGTCATTATGGGATGCACGATATTGATTCTGGTAAGTGAATTAGGCGCGGCAGCCTTGTGTTACATTATTTCTACTTTATGTTGGCTCTATTTTTATCATATTCATTCCTGCTTGTACTATATGTTACTGTTATTTTATGTTATATGTGTTGCTTGGTATGAGGGAGCAAAAATGTGGACTGTCTGCAGGTCCCCAGAGGCCGGACAGGGAAACACTGATGTGGAAAGAGAGATGACAGTACAGAAGGGCAGGGACAGTGATTCCAACCATCTGCATGCAGCTCTACAGCACAAAGAAGAAGAGAGCGGCTACAGCTGTGGTAAGGCAAAGTGAGACTGACCAGCTCAACCCCTTCCGCAGCACCGGGATTCTTCAGGAGGGCCTGGGCCACTGCTGGCTCAATAGTCAGCATCCTAGAGAGGTTGTGCAGGCGGTTCTTGAACTCTTGGTAAGCAGCATGGACCCAGGGAAGGGAAACTACTCCGTTATCTTCCATTCCATCTCTGACTCTCAGCTCATTGACACAGCAGGACAAGGCTCCTCGCAAGAGCTGGGGGGGGGGGGCAAAACAGAATCTTTGGTATGAGAAATGCAGTTCATGCCTACAGATTCTGAAGCGGGTTAATGGCGACGACCACAAAGCTGATGACGAGGTTACCACAGTTTAACTGAATTTTGCAATTTTGGAAATATTTACCAGAATATTATCAAAGCAAAATTTAGAATGATAATGCAAACAGCAAATATCAGATTTGGGCTCCTGGTGTTATTTTCATGAAATGCAAAAAGGAGATTCTTTATAATTCTTAATAAGTAAATTAAGTGATGAACATCAACGAAACAGGAGCTGCATAGAGATGCACCAGGGTACCGATATTTAATTATCCCTTTTTAAAAATTCCAAAAAAAAATAGTCAAAAAAATTATTTCGAAATTTGACATGGCATGTGAGGCACAGAGTTCTAGAATTCAAGAAATCAGCATGTACTTTCACTTTCTGCGGTCTAAAGACCTGGGCGCTGCTTCAGCATTTCGCACCTGATGCAAGACAAATGAGGGAAATACCAACCTGAAGAACTTCGTCTGAAGTAACCTTCATGGACATGGAGATGAAATCCTGAAGGTAGCGCTGGAAGAGCTGCAACTGCATCTCCGCATCTGCAGCTGCGATGTATGTCCCCAAGGGAGTATTCCAGAAGAACTCATCAAACTGTTTCAAGGTTTGTCCTTCACAAAAAGAATATCAAAATGGTGTTTCATAATACGACAGACTGCAGTTTTAGACTCAAGTGCGATAAATCTTATCCTAAGAATGGCATTTACCCTAAATATAAATATCTTATATTTATTTCTTTAGCTGAATCAACGCACAAGAGAGGCAGAAGACAGGCCAATACGATTACCTTCCCGTTGCCGGGCATAAACCCAGAGCTCATCCAGGAAGTCCTTGATTTTCCAGCTGAAGGGCATACTACAGCCTCTGTTTGCCTCTGACATCATATGTCTCTGAACCAAGATTGTTTTTGTCTCCGAACTGTAGAGAACCAGAGTTTCATAAATAATCTTTACTGGATTTTGGCCATTTCCTTTTTTCCCCCCATTCTTCATGTAGAACCATGAGCATCTTAACAAGGTCTACAAACCATTTCTGTAAGTGAACTGGATGTATATTAAATCATGCATAAAACATCAAAAGGTGAAAAAAGAAATACTATTAAATTCATTAAAATGACAACCATTTAAATTCCTTATTGTCACTCATAAAACTCATGAAACGACTGTGGGAACAGAAGTGAAACAATAAAAGAAATTAAAAGATCAACAAAGTACTTAAGTACATAAGTATAAAATTTGGTCTTCTTGGGTTTTGACATCAAGAATCCTTCGCCACTGCAGATACCCAAAAGCGTACTGTACTTGCAGAAACTTCAAGGGTGTTTAATTAATGTAATCTTTTTGTTCTTTTGAAAAATCTGCAGTGCTTAACAGAATATTGGTAAGCATGGAGTTCCAGACCGAATGCATTGCCTGAAAATGACCTTCAGCCAAATGGACACCTACGTGTGGTCCACTTCAGCGTATGGAATGATCAGCAGCTTCTCGTTGCCAAAGATATCAAGCCATAGCCTTTTCAAAGGCTCCGTGGAGTTGTCATCGAGTAGCAGGTCGAGATTATAGTCTCGGTCAATGACCGAGACCAGCTGGGCCAGGCAGGGTGTGAGCACAGTCTGCACTCGCTTCCACAAGGTGTGTCTGCAGAAATCAACACAAAACATTGCACTAAATATATACATACCACAACATATCCCATTATTGGAAAGGTACATTTTTTTTTGAAAAGGTTAGATTTACACATATGAACCAACCCTATTACTATCCACTAATCTGCAGAGCCCAGCCAAAACAGGATTTTCCGATACTGACTGATTTAGATATTTGAAGATTTAAAAATACAATAATGACATATCACCCAATATTTTTTTTCAGAAACGTGTAACATAAACATGAGATGTTCCCTAACATTTGTTATTTATAGTTATTTAAAAATCCTCACAGAGATAACATGACATAATGCAGTTTAAAAATAAACTTGTTTCATTATTTATTTTTATTATTATTATTATTATTATTATTATATTATTATTATTATTATTATTATTATTATTATTAATAATAATAATAATAATAATAATAATAAAATAATTAGAACTAAAAGAACAAGACAGGTGTCCATGCAGATGACATGGAAGTACCCAAAAGTTCCCTCATGGGTCTTTAAATGCTAGATGTGATGCTACAACACTGCCATGCCTTGGGTTCACGCACCTGAAAGTCCCCCCTTCCTGCAGGGCATCAACGTTGGATGCCTCCTTGAAGACCCAGGTTTTAGACGAGGCAATGTTTTCGTCACGCATCCTCAGCAAAAAATGAAGACGCCTCTTCACGATTTTCAAAAATTTAGCTGTCAAACATCAAAGCAAATACCACACTTGCTTTAAGAAGCACGATCCCCCTCCACAGACAGCTGAAACAACTCATATATTTTCCATTTGGTTGAATTTATTTTCTTAGCAAGTACTTTTAATCCCAAGTAACATTCTACCTATTAGTCATCTCCATACATCTAAATTTGCTACAGGGAGGCATGGTGAGTCACCCTCACACACCGAGGGGCTTTTTGCACATGGAAGTTGCATATTCTCCCCATGTTAAGTGCAGATTTCCTCCAAGTATCCTGGTTTCCTCTCTCAATTCAAAAACATGAGGTTAGGAGATTTTGCGGAGTTTGAGGTCTCCCTAGGTCAACAAGGGAAGCGCTGGCATTTCACTTCTTTAACCAATCACAGTCTTCATTCGTATGACATCACCACATTGGTCCATTCTTTTTTTCTCATTTTTAAACTCAAGGCTTCCAGCCATCAGACCAGGGGCAGCTTGTGGCTCAGCAGGCTAAGCCTCAGGGTTTGATATCGGAAGGTTGCTGGTTCAAGCCTTGTTGTTGTTTTTTGTTGTCATCATCATCATCATCATCATCATCATCATCATCATCATCATCATCAAGAAATAAAGACGCACCTTTACATTGCTTCATACAGCTTTTGCAGGTAAGCATATTCCTATGTTTTGTCTGTATTCCTATGTTTTATCTATGACATCTTCATTAACAAAAGGCATACACAATAAAACAGGTACTTTAGAAATCTGTGCTTCTTGCCATTTAACAAAACCGGTTTAACCCACATGGTGATGTCATACGATGAAGGCTGTGACTGGTTAAAGAAGTGACACGCAAGCCCCTACCTTCACCTAGAGACATGTCAAATTCAGCAAAATGAATGCGTGTTAGGTGAGCTATGTCTCATTTGCCTGCGGTGTCTGAGTGTGTGTCCAATGATGGACTGGCATCCTGTGGAATACAATCAGCTGGCTTTGCAAATAACGAAAGAAGAGTGGCATGACAGTACCTTTCAGCTCATCATCGACAGCCAGGAGGGTCAGTAGGATCTCCACTCTCCTGGTGCTTCGGAAGCCATCGTCACCTTGGTCTCTAAGCATTCCAACAGCACTCTGAACGGAGCTACGCACCAGCACTGTGGTGTCTAGGACAGCCCCCCAGCCCTGAGAGTCAATCACAAAAGAAAAAAGCAAACACCAAATCGTAACCCAGACTTGGCAGAATCTCTCATCACATCATCTTCACAGCGATTTTCCTGGTGAGAGCTGCAGTGGTCAAATATCTTATGTTAAGTATAAGGATAATGTGTTTGCCTCCTTCCTGATTTCTTTGATTTGTTTTGTATGTTTGTCACCCGTAAATGTTTCAGATCAAACAAATTTAAATATTAGACAAAGATGACACAAGTAAACACAAAATGCAGTTTTTAAATGAAGGTGTTCATTATCAAGGGGGGAAAAAATCCAAACCTACATCGCATCCTCCACAGCGCTGTAAAAGATTCACTGCCAGTTATCGTAAAGGCTTGATTGCAGTTGCTGCTAAGGGTGGCCCAACTAGTTATTAGGGTTAGGGGGCAATCACCTTTTCACACTGGGCCATGTAGGTTTGGGTGTTTTTTCCCCTTAATAATGAACACCTTCATTTAAAAACTGCATTTTGTGTTTACTTGTGTCATCTTTGTCTAATATTTAAATTTGTTTGATGATCTGAAACACGTGTGACAAACACACAAAAAAATAAGAAATCAGGAAGGGGGCAAACACTTCCATACCACTGTATAAGGTTTCTAAATTCATTTTTATCTACAATGAAAAGAACAAAAACAGATATCAATGACATACTCTATGTTGTGGTGTCTCCATCTCTGTCTGCTCCGGCTGAGTCTCAGTCTGCTGTTCACCTATATATATGTCCTGCACAGTCTCAGTCTGCTCCTCGTCCATGTACATGTCCTGCACAGTCTCAGTCTGGTCCTCGTCCATGTACATGTCCTGCACAGTCTCAGTCTGGTCCTCGTCCATGTACATGTCCTGCACAATCCCAGTCTGGTCCTCATCTAAATATATGTTCTCCGCAGTCCCAGTCTGCTCCTCGGCTGTGTACATCTCTGGAACTTCCATTGCTAGGAAAACATGTACAGAATTTCACATCTATTGACAGTCATCCATAGCAATGCACTTTTAGCATAATACATACATACATACATACATACATACATACATAAAGAAATAGAATAGATAAAATTGGAAGAATTTAAAAGGGTTAAGTAGCATTTAGTGAAGGTGTTCAAAGTTCGGTTCTGACTGCCTACCCAACTATAACTACAACGTCTTATGACAAGATTGCTGAGAAATATTTTTGCTTATGTAAAACGACTTTCGTCAGTTCAGCTTACGCTCAGGTTCAGCTAGGTTCTCCTCAAAAAGCTGACTGATGGACAAATTCCTCAAAGCCTTTATATCAGAGATGATGTCTTTGGATCTTCTGAGGTCATCAATGTGAACTGACCTCCAGGGCCCTATACACATGAAAACAGGGGGGTTGGACAGCTTACAGATAAAAAAAAATGCATTCCGTTTTTTGTTACAAAGCTTCTGTCAGACAAGTTTGACTGACAGTCATTCATCAACATACCCCCATGAAATCCAACGTAGGAGCAGCCACCTTCCATCCTAGGAAGTTTGGTGATAAAATACACAAACACTTTCCCTCTCAGTTCTTCTTCTCTTGATTTGTTAATTTCATTCATGGCAGAATACCTATAAAGAAAGTCAAACTTGGTGAGTTCCATAGACTTGTTAGATGAAGAATCTTCTTCAGAAAAAGAGCTTACTTTGCAGATGCAATGAGGTGTGTGCTCAAGAAGCCATTGTCAAATTCAGCCTGAATAATGAGGATTTTGTCTCCAACCACAGAGTCCAGAAAAAGTCTACATGAAAAAGGGAGAAGTTTTGTGATGTATAAATTGAACAGAAATTGCTAAGACACTCCAAACATTGGACATTTAAATATGTGCAGACCTGATCTTTTTGAGGAAGGAGTGTTCTGTGTCAAATTGTTGCAAGGAGAGGAGTTCAATTTTGCCATTGACCTCTGGGAGCTGCCCAATGTCAGAGGCTGTCAAAAGTCTTGAGAATGTGGTGACCTTCAAAAAAAACATTTACAACAATCATGAAGTAAAGTACAGCCTTCTCAATATGTGAACAGTTAATGTCTGCCTAGAGAGTTGACCATTTTCAATCAGCAAGTATTAATGCAATACGATTATTTTTGTAGTTTACCTCTGTGAAAGATGCATAAGAACTTTGATCCAACCTTCTGGCAGATGTTATGTAGTCAGCAAGAGAAATGTGCTTCTGTTCTTCAAAGTAAATCCTGGTCAGCTCATCAGTCTCTACCTTAGAGAGTCTGGTACAGTCCAAGCGAACCACTGAATCAGGAGTGGCACAGTTTAGCAGGATTAGTTTGGCCTCATTCAAAACATTTTTCTGAGCATCAGGTAACACATGGTCAACCTCTTTCAACCTCTTGGTCACTTGCAGGACCACAGAGGAGCAGGTGTCAGAATGATACCCGATGAAAACATCAGTGGAAAGATATTTGTAGGTTTGAAGAGGGATTGCATGCTGGTTGTTGGTGGAGACAAAGGAATTAACCCAGCTCTCAAGCTCTCTGACGATTTCCTTCTTGTCATTTTTCAGGACAGTATTGATGTCCAGGTAATGCTTCTCAAGCCTGTTAATGAGTGGGATTGGAAACTGCTTGTAAACCACCTCTTTCTCCTCAATAACTATGAGCCTGAAATCTTTGTGCACTCTGCACTTGACACGATGGGTCCCTAATCCCAGGTCCACATACTTCTGGCCACCCAGAGAAACGTAGTACTGGTTGAGAGCATCATACAAGCTTTCATAGAGGTTTTGAAGGTTCAGCAGCACAATGGTCTGACCGGTTTCCATGCATATCTTAACACGGTTGATGTTCCGGCAAATCTGTGTGTATTCCTGGTCTTTGGGAAAGCTGGATCCAAACATGATTTCTGGCTGGTCACGTTCAGTGAAGAACGACTGCTGAAGAATCTGCAGGGCTGCATAATTTTTGGTCAAAACTAGGAGGTATCGGCACTCCTCATCTTGGCCAACAGACAGGATGTTCTGCCTCACCAGTTCAATTTTATCAATGTTCTCCTGCTTTGAGTGGAAATTCAACCTACTAGTGAAGGCTGTAACTACATCTATGTTATCTTTCCCACTGAAATTCCGCAGCACCGCCTCCATAATTTTGTCAGGAGTGGGCTTCTGTTCAGTGCTCTTTGTGGCTGCAAATACCATTTTAATTAAGCTGTAATAATCCCGCAGGCCAAAAAAACCTTTTCCCTCTTTCTTGCTAATTTTAAGATAAGCCTTGGCAAAAGGCTTGAAATAGTCCCGAACTTTCTCCAGAATCATCTTGTCAGAGGAGCATATTCCTTTTGCACTTTCAATCAATTCCTTTTCATCAGGGTCACCACGGGAGACAAAGATGCCTCGGTTCATTTTTGCCGGGTCCAAAGCCCAGTTGGAAATGCCAATGAATCCAACCTTCTTATGTGGCAGTGGTTCATCATCTATGCAGCCTTCCTCTAGCAAAGGATGCAGTGTTTTCAAGGGCATTTTTGGGGAGTCTTCTGCTAAACCAATCTCATCCAACACCACAACAGAAATGTACTCTGTCAGGTTCTTGCCCTCCTGGAAACGGGCACACTGCTTGAATGTATTGATGATGCCTTCTGGTGTAGAATGAGGACTGCACTGAAAGGAGACCAGGTGAACTTGCTTCAGCTTTTTGTACAGCTCTGAGTGAGCAGCCTGTCCTTGCATAGCATCTGCAACTAAAGTTTTAGACAAAGACTTTGAGCTTCCAGGTTTCCCAACCAAGAAAAGTGGGATTCGAAGTTCAATGCAAATCACCATCATAAAAACATTTTCTTTCAAAGCATTATTTTTTGCAATTGTTTTCCCCAGTGGTACACCACTCAAAAACAGGTCCTGCATGACTGAGATTTCCTGCATTACTTTGGTCGAGTTATAATTTTCTGGTAGGTGCTTGCAGATTTTTTTCCTGAAATTTTCTTTTTCATCTAAGCAGGCATGGTAACAAACACCTACAGCCATGATAAGGGACCACAGAACTGGATCTCTTTCATCAGTCAATGTCTGATTGCCCCCGTTCTTTTCCATGTTTAAATTTCCATCGAGAAATGCTTTCAGCTCAGCCAGTAACATGCTGTGGTTGCTGTAAAACCACACAAAACTTTGCATACAGCGTTCTACATCCCTAAGACTCACAAATTTGCACTCATCTTTCTTGGTCCTCATGTACTTCTGTGATGAGGACAGAACTTCGGTGACTGTGTTGATATAATCTTGACTAATTGAATTTGTTTCAATGACTCTTTGAACAATTTGTTGGATGTACATTTTTTCAGTGTGGTCATTAAGCTGTCCAAAGTCCCACACCAGTGGGATCATGCTGGGTGGCAATGCTTGAACTCTGTACACGAGCTGACGGAGAGGGATATGTCCAAGTTTATCATCGGTTTCTTCAGCTCGGACTCTATATCCTAAGCCTGCGGACTCCAGCCTAGAGATCATTTCATCTGTATGCTTCCTGTAAGGGTTGCAAGCAGCAATGATTTGCAGACCAGTATTCATATTCAAGTGCTCTCCATTCACAGTGTTGTCACAGAGAACCTCCTTGATGCTGCTTATGGCCTCAGTTGTGTTAGCCTCATCAAAGAAGAGGACAGAATCAAAACCATAGTGTTGTTTATTGACAACCGAGATGGCCTCTGCTTCTCTTACTTTGGTGTAGATCATCTCCGAGGTTGTCCCTCCATGGACTTTGATAAGCTTCATGTTCTCTGTGGCGACTCCACTCCTCCGCAATTCACACAAAAACTTTATAAGCCTAGTTTTTCCACATCCTGTTTCCCCCATGATGATGACTGGGATGCCACATCTGAAGCGCATGTGAATGGCAAGAATTTTCAGAATATTGTCAGTGGTGAGCTCATAGTTTTCATCTGGGTCCAAAGGCCACTGTACTCCCAACACCCTGCAAAGACGTTCAATCTTCTCAGCCCTAGGAAGCGCATCAAAATCTATATTGAAAGGTACTCCATTGAGACGGAGACCTTCATAGAGTTCTCGGGTCATGACGTTTCTCTTGATCACCATTTGCTTACTTAGATCAACAGCATCAACTCCATTCTGTTCATTAATCACAAGGTGAAATCCAATGAAAGTCATGGACTCATGGTCGTCATTAAAGAAGATGTAAGGATGGGGTTCCAATTCCCACCTCTTTCTAATCCGAAATGGAGCTAAATCTTCTTCACTTAAACCAGAGAAGTCTACTTGCTGCCTACCTGAGCTCTGATCAGAGATGCCAAGAGATGGTGTTGCAAAATCCTTTGCCATGAGAATCATGAAGTCAACAACAAAGTTTTTAAACCCTACCAAAACATCTCCAATATTGTCTATTTGACAAAATACAGAGTTCTCACAGTCTTCCAGTTGTAGGTTAAGGAACCACGCAAAGTTTCTCAATTCTGCCCATGATGGGTCCACAACACCACAGTAAACAAAAAGCATCTGTAGGCATTCCACGTGAGTTCCCTCAGTGCCGTGATATGAAAATTTATCAAGACATTCCTTATTATAGAACCTCTTGAGATACTGATAAGGTCTTTGGTAGGCTTCACTTCTGAACTCTTGATCATCCATGAGTGGGTCGTGAGATTCTTTCATGTCCTTGTTCTCTTGCATCTTCATTTCCATCTCAAGAACCTCTTTAGGAGGACGGCAGAAAATTTTTGGAAAGACATCATGGAAGGCAAAGTGGATATTTTCATTCTGTGAAATGTGAGGGAAAAAGTTGATTAAAACTATGCATACCAATTGACGATCAGCCTATAACAATAATATCAAGAAGCCAGTGGAATCACTAGTAGTTAGACTTACAACATTTGGACCATTTCCCCACAAATGTCCTTTGGATTGCAGAATCTCAATGACGTACAAATGCTGGTTGCTGCATTTCCACATCCTTCCTTGAGAATCCATCAAATAGCGTAGGACCAGCAGTTTGAACAGAAATTCATACAAGCCTTTCTGGACCTGATTTATATAAGAGATATTACATGTTTAACATGCCAAAGTAAACATTTTTCATTTAAAACTCTAAACTCCTTTGAAATTAAACATTCAAATGATTTGGTCTGGCTTTTTGTGACACTTACAGAAGAGGTGACATCAAAACTGAAGATTGTGAGCTCCTGTTTTGAGTTACTGAGCAAAGATGTGAGAATAGCATTTTCATCCACCCTTGGCTCAATCAAGCGAATACATTTGTGGAACGCGGTTTCTTCAGTTTTCTTCAACTCCTCATAGAGCCTCTGAATATACAGGGATTTCCCTAAAAGTTCAAGCAACATCTTATGTCAGTAATTTAGGATACAATAGCATGTCCAGCTCACACGACTCAATATGTGTACTTGACTGTTCTTGTGTTGTCGTGTACCCATTTGACATCATCTTCCACTGCCAAAGTACAGTTCCAAAACTCCCTAACAGAAATCTAGAGGATGGTAAAAATGCCTGGATGTCATTCTTGCACCACCCCAAAATATCAAGGATGCACTGGTTGCATCCACACAATCTCATGATTCATTGCGTCCCAAGTTTGTTCTTGGGAGGCAAGTTAGCAAGCACACTCTTGCCAAGAACACAGATATGTTTGTGTTCTTGGTATTTATAAACAATACCCATCACCAGTATCTAGCACCAGTTTCGGCGTACTAGCACCATTCTAGCACCAGTTTTGGCGTACTTACCTACTCCAGCTCTTTCAGACGTCACTAGTCCAACACATAGTCTGCCCTGGAACACTGCTGCAGCACTGGACTCCTCTGATGGAACAGTATAGTGCCTAGACAGATACCTCTGGACCCTATCCAGGGGCTCCAGAGGGACCATGTGCAGCCTATACTGGCTGAAGGCTGAGGGGAGGTAGGTGTGCTCCCGCTCAGAATCACATATGATAACTAGTCGGTATTCTTTTTGGCAAAGCTTTTCCAGTTGCTGAAAGAGTTGCTCAACCTTATAACTGACTTCATAGGGAAGCTGATCAGCATGGAGCAAAGTGTATATCTTCTCTCCCTCATAGCCCACTGTAAGGCATCGCCGTAGGAGAAGCTCCACCTCCTCATAAGAAGTGGAGGCAGTGCACAGGAGGACTTCATCGTACGTGGGCAGCTGCTCGTGTTCACTGCTCATGTAGATGCTGATGCAGGACGTCAGGATTTCGGCATGTGGGCAGACAATGAGATTCGGTCGTCTGCTTAGTAAACCTTTTGGCAGATTTCTCCTAATGATCCGTTCTTTCTTCGCGACACCTTCATCCTCATCTTCCTCATCCTTGTAGTTAGCCAGTATTTCAAGAAGCCTCCCAAGAGTTCTGATGTCCAGACAGTCAGGCAGGAAATAGCTCATATCTTTCATATAGGCATTCCACAGTAAATCCAGTTTTTTGGAACCAGTAGCTTGCTCCACTTGATTCAGCAAATACAAGGATTCATTCTCCCTTCCTGAAAAATTTGTGGCTAATTCCATACTATCACTCCCTTCAAATAAGGTCCGAAATTCTATTTCTTCACTCCTCTCATTTTCATTTTTGATGAGCATCTCATACTGAAGCTGGTGCCATGTCTGCCTTAAGTCTGAGAGGCTGCAGTTGGGTTTGATGAAAGACAGCATCATCAGGACCTGGTCATCTACACCCTCATCCAGGCATTTCTGGGTGAGCTTCCTGCACAGATACACTATCTGTTCCGCTGTATAGTAGTTGAGGTAGTAATACTGGGACCTTTGCTTGTCCATGAAGAACTTCCAGAAGCTCAAGCATTTCTCCATCTTTCTGCACATGTCTGGCAGCTGCTCCGCCACGTTGCCTTCTACTATGATACTGCTGACGGTGCTGCCCAAACAGAAGTCCATAATGATGCCTGCTTCACTGTATGGGCTACAGTTAATGTTGGTCTCCCATTGCCTAAAGAGGGGGTTCCCAGCCACGAACAGATCCATGAATGCCTCAGCCAGCCGCTGGACATTATCAAATATCTGTGGAAAGGAGGAAGATAAATTTCATGTTTGCAAGAACATTTTTAAATTCGACAATGATAAAGTATAATAAGGTTGAAGAGGTTAGATCCTCTAAGGCAGGGTTAGGGAACCTGATCCATGAAGGAGCAGTGTTTTTGCAAAGACGTCTCAATCAGCCAATAATAAAGCAGTGGTGGAGAACATTGAGAAGGGCTAAGACTCTGTGCCTGTGTTCAGAAGATGGCCGATTCAAGCCTGGCCTCGACATGTCTTGGGGTCCTTGGGCAAGACCCTTGACCCCCAGCTCCCTGGGCGCCATAATGGGTGGCGGCCCATTCACGGCCAAGCTTGCTCTGACCAAGAGCAAGTTGGAAGAGGTGGAAAGAAAATTGCCTCATGGGGATCAATTTAAAAAGTATCAATTATTATTATTTATTATTGGCTGATTGAGCAAATCATACCAAAAACCTGCATCTACACAGTCTCTCCATGGTTCAGATTCCCAACCCCTACTTTAAGGATAAAGATATTTCCCCATAAATACAGTATTAAAGGATTAACAAGGAGGCTAAAATTGTATGTACTACTACACCTGGATTAAGGACAGCTGTTTTCAGATAAAACAAATTGCTAATATATTTTAATAAATATCCAAAGCCTAACAGTATATGTGGTTGCTTCAAATCAAAGTCATACTAAATGTGTACATCCATACTGTTGAATAAGGAACTGAACATCAAGTAAAAGTTGGTTAGATACCTCAACTTTTCAGTTCTTACAAAATCATACTAATTTAGAAAAGCAAAAAAGCAAGATTTCACCCATGGGTAAGCCTGTGCTGGTCAGGGTATATTTAACACATTAACATACCAATATACTAATGACACATTCATGGTTTAAGAAAGAAACATTGGTTGGCAAGAAACAGTTAAAAGTACAGTATTTTAGGCTTTTTAAACTAAAAAGGCAAAAAATACAAATAAATAAGTAATCTATATCGGTTCCTGAATAAGGCAATCGCATACAATTGCTACTAAGGAGACAAAAGTCATAGTGAAACTACAACTACAGTTAAGACAAAAGATGTATATCATTTTGTAACGGTCACACTAAATAAAGACCAGCACCTATACATTTCATTGTGTAACAATGCAAGAATTTTATTTCTTGAAATAATACACTGATTAAAATGTGTGATGGTGAGTCTCACCTCTGCAAAACGCTCCACCTCTTGTTGCCCCTGCTCTCCCTTTCCAGACATCAGCATGAGTTTGTTCTGTAGCTCCCGCAGGTCCTCCAAGTTATAGCAACGCATCTCCTGTCCCTCCTCATGCTCCTCGGGAATCTTCAGCTGCAGGACTGTTTCTAGACTCAGCTGATACAACAGAGACCAACATAATCAGAAATTGTACATCCTGAAAAGATATGGAACGTTAAGTAAATCATTAAATGCAGTGAACTCAGTCTCGCCGATTGCTTCTCAGAGCAAGACATTCTTCACAGAAGTTTAGTGTCATCTGTCTTTGCAAAAACACCAAGGAATTCACACTGGAAATAACTGAAAAACGAACCTTCTTGTGATCTTGGCTACTAATGATGTAAATGCCGTTCTTGTTGATAGCTGAAGCCAAAGAGAGAGAGGACAGTTCCACAGAGCCATGGCTGTCTTTGACCGTCTTCAGCCACTCCAGGTGACGTGCAGTATCACGCTAAAAACAAGGAAAATTACATTTGGGAAAGTCTCTCAACGAGTTGATCAAGCACACAATGCCAAAATAAGTCATATATAGTGAGAAACTATACTCTGCACTGCTGCTGAAGTTTACACGCTTGGCCCTCGGGACCCGTATTTTCTCATACATGTATACTTACTAGTTTCTTTGGCAAATTGCAATCATTTTCAAAAGCCTTCCACAGTTTCTTCAGAGCCTCGTTAAAGCTTTGGAAGCCTGCATCGGGCTTTAGGTCATACAGCATGGAAGCGTAGCCAAGGACAGCATCATGGAAACAAGCGACGCGGTCAACATCCAGGTCATTCTCTCCAGCAGAGATGGAGGCCAGGTCCACAAAAACCTTCAGCTCATTAATATCTGTTAGTAAGGAGAAAACGTCTGAATTCACAGTATACTATCATTTTTCAGTTCAAGCCACTTTTGAGAGATAAAAATAAATATACTGTCTCTATCCAATGAAACCGCATAGATCCACGTTTTGATGATTGTGATTGCTCTCACCTACAGAGAGCAAGTTGGGGGAGGCATGAAGAGAATTTCCCCAGAGGGATCAAAAAAGTATCTATTATTATTATTATTATTATTATTATTATTATTATTATTACTCTAAATGGAATACCTATTCTCCGCTGTCTACTGATAAAATTTCACATCTACTGTAACTGACCAACGAAAAGACTTTTATGAAGTCCTTTAACTAGTACTTATGTTTGTACTAGTTAACATTTTAACAAATGAATGCTGATAGCTAGCTAACTATCATCACTGTTATTTATGAATACAACTTGTATCTTGTTGACACTGACATATTTGCCTCCCTGACAACAATCCTTGTATGTCCTTTTAAAACAAACTGTTCATTGATGCCTGTGTAAAGGCTTTATGGTGGTACTGGAGTGTCATTATGTTTAGATTTTAAATTAGCTCCAGAGAAAATGCATTTTTTCACATTCCAGATTTTTGGAGATGCATAGTTTTCATTGGACAGAGATTAATATAATCATATTTTTTCAGATACATCGCTCCATTTGGCATTACGTATTGACTCACCCTCAAGTGCTTCTTTGACCCAAATCACAAAGTTTTTTCTGAGGTGAAGTTCTAGAAGGCACTGCCTACGGGATTCTGTGATGTCCACCAGAATCTTCTTGGCCTGCATCAGGTCATTGTCAATGCGATCCAGACTTTCCTCCTTGAAGTCTATAGATGTCTGAAAACAGAATATATATAAAACTTTATATTGATGTTCTGATGTTATAAGGAAAAAAACAACAGCTTCTTCACTTACAGCTTGAAGTAGGGTTTCCAGGACACCGAAATTGCCTTTAAGACAAAGTGTCTCCTTCACACTCATGATGACCTGGGCTGACTCTATAGCCAAGTGAAGCTCATGGTACTGTTCAATCTGCTGGATTCTTCTCTCAATCCATTGTCCATCATCAGTATGGTCAATTCGGCACATTATCTCCAGATCTAGCCTCAGCTCTGCATACTTTTCTTTATAAGCTTCAAAGATAACATCAACATCCTTAAGTGTTATTTGACCGTCCCTTACATTTCTGTAGATCCATTCATAGTTACTATAGCATGGCTGAAAAATCTCATCATCTATCATTTCAAGTGGTTCATTCTCCACTTCAGATTCTGAGAGTTCTTCGTCATCGTCAGTCTTTGAGATTTCTTTTGCTTGGTCTTCCCAACACGTGTTAAAAATGAAACTGTCTTTAACAGTCTCCAGGGTCTTTGCCATTTGCCTCATTTTGTCACTAAGGTGGAAGAACGTCACAATGCCTGACTGATCAGAGGCCATCTCATCAAGCAGGTGAACCTCCATGAAGCAGTCCAACGTCATCGACTTGATATCTATCTGTTGTTTTTGTTCCAGGTCGTTCAAGTCAACTGAAATCCAAACACAAGATTATTCTGATTCACCCCAAAATTTAAAAATGTAATTACTGCCAATTATGCAATATTGTACACATAATTTCAGTAACACTTTAAATGCAATGTCTATTAGAATCTATGAACACATTCATAACACATTATAATGTATTCATAAAGATTATAAACATGGCCATAAATATTTATAAAAAGGTATACATTTTACCCATATTTATTATGCATTATGAATGCTTCATGAAGCTCTCATCTATAATGTACTATAGATACCTTCATAATTCAGTACAAAGTATTAATTCTTATACCGACCATTATAATGCATTATAAAGGTATCAATAGTGCATGACAGCATTAAGTAGTATCAGAAATTCTTTAAATGAAATTCAGGACCAGTCAAAAGTTTGGACACATCTTCCCGTAGAAATGTTTATTTGTAGTAATCTCTACATTTTAGAAATATTATAAAGGCATAAAAACTATAACATAAAGCTACATAAAATAATGCACTGACCCAAAAAGTATTAAATTAATTTGTTTCTGGGGCAGTTCTCTTAGTTGGGACTCAGAAGGTTGCTGGTTCACCCATTGACTCAGAAGGTTGCTGGTGATCCCACCATTGGGCCCTTGAACAAGGCCTGTAACCCCAGCTGCTCCAGGGACTGGCTGCCCCTACTGTCTCCCCTACCCCAGCTTCATGAGGTGGCCTCCTGGGACGCTTTACCAGCTGTCCTGAAGGAGGTCCCACATATACACCAAGCACTGATTGGCCGTTTTCCTTCACTCTCTGGTCAAACTCCTCCGAAATCATTTCTACCGTGTTTAGGTCAGGTGGCCAGGTCATGCGATGCAACACTAGGTGGCTTTGTAGGCGGCTTGGTGTGTCCAAACTTTTGACAGGCACCATACAGTACATAAAGCACATAAACACACACACACACCTTTGATGTGCTCCTCCAGCTTGCGGCACATGACCAGCAAGCTCTCCACTAGCTGCTTCTCCCTGAAGACTGCCGTCACCTCTTGTTTTCTCCACTGCATCAGCCTCCTCATGTTGGCCCTGTCCTTACACTGCTCATTGTTAGACAGGTAACCTGTGTAGAACATCATTCATCTTATTACCTATGCTATTAATAGCAGAAATCATCAATGTAAGTGAAAAAGGTTCACTTTATGATCCGAGAGTTGCTTCAGAAAACATATCATGTATATTATCATGAACTTATTCTTGTATAAGTATAATTATATTTTGCTTTTAAAAAAATAACGGAAGAAATTACTTATTATTAGAGTTCCTAACAAAATCTTTACATAATGGAGCTTAATTATAATGACTAGGAAAAACAGTGGTCACCTTACTTCTGGGGTGACAACCACAACAATGAATGAATGTCAGTGAATGTAAGAGTTTCACTGGACCACTTGGCTCATGTCATTACCTATCTGCAGAAGCTCTACAAAGACACTCTGGTTTTCCAGGATGCAGTTCAGGAGGCCGACTGACATCTTTCCAGAGATGAACTTCTCTGAAATTGATGCAAAGGCTGAACTTGCAACAACTACTTTCTCCTTGGCATCATCTGAAAGTTCATTAACCAACCTTTCATCTGTATCTGAAAAGAAGATGGACAACATATAAATGCTATATTTTAATAAACACACGCACACACTCACAGGAGAAAGCCTTTCACTACACATCAATGCATAATAATCAATAAAATTACAAAGATTAGAGCAGTAGACTAACTTATCACAGCTAGTTCCAATCCCTGACCAGCAAGGTACCGCCCCCAAGCACTGCTCCCCCGGGTGCTGAATTAGCTGCCCCCTGCTATGTCACATATGCGTTAAATGCAGAGGACACATTTCGGTGTTGTGCACTGTGTGCTGTGTCAACACTGATCACCAAATTAAATTAAATTAGTTTGGGGTTAGGGCTGGGTTAGGGTTAATGTTGTCATGGTAGGAATTAGGGTTCTGCTTATAAAAATGAATGGAGAGTCCCCACAAAGACATCATTACAANTGAAAGATGTTCCTGGCAGCAGTCCAGTTCAGAAGATGCTGGAGCACCACCTCATCTCCATCCAAGTAGCACGTCCCACTAGAGTCTGTGGGCCAGGACTTCTGAATAATGGCCGACACCAGCTTTCCATACTTCCAGTTTATTTTGAATTTCTCAAAAAGACTTTGCTCTGATTTGTTCTGTTAAAATGAAAGAGTGAGATAATTCTGTAGATAGCAGCAGTTGCACACAAGTATCTAAATTGTTGACAATGATTTTGCCAACTAGTTCTGACAGTGTGACTGAACTGAAATTAAAATTCCATATTTACTGATTTATTTATGGAAAAGATACTATATTTTAAATATACTATATTCACAAACTCTAATTAACTAATCAAAATCAAAGCAAAAGTTGTAAGTGAAGTACAGTTGGGTACCAAAACATAGTGCCAATATGGTATGTACCAGACTGTATCGCAATGCAGAACCAGACTGTATCGCAATGCAGAACCAGACTGTATCGCAATGCAGAACCAGACTGTATCGCAATGCAGAACCAGACTGTATCGCAAAGATTTTGGTTCCTTATTTATTTGTTTATTTATTTAAGTACCGATTCAGGAAACCATTCTGGCACCATCTGGTTTTTAAAGTATCCTTTTAGCACTGGTATCAGAAAAAACCCAAACGATACCCAAGCCAAATAAGTTAAGTGCAACTTTGTCACACCAGCCGTATTGAGGACACTGCATATGGTGATGTGAAAAAAATCAGGAAATTAAACGGTAAGATGTGTAGAGTCGGTAATGATGGAAGCAGCAGCGGTATATTGGAGGAAACAAAAACATCAATAATGTGAATACAGTACATCAATATTATACTGTGAAAATGTGCTTAATTTTCATTACACTTAAATGACCAGTTTGCTTATTACATTTGCATTTATTTATTTAGTGTACATTTTATCTGTCAACGTCCAACACAGTATTTATTGTTGTTGCTCTTAACTTGAGATAACTAGTTTTCAACCATTGTGTTCACCTGATTCATCAATATACCTCAACATCCCAAATAGAAAATTCTCGTAAGGTCTTTCGACCAACATCGCCACATAAAATACGGTACCCAAAGCTAAGATCATCCAGAAGGTGAAATGTCCCGCACCCTACCTGGCAGACGGAGTTGACAGCTTGAAGAGCACATTTCTCTACTGTCTTGGCAATGTAAGGAAGTGTGTTGGTCAGCTCTTCCATTTTATTGCAGTAAATCTCAATTTGGTTCATATAGGACTCCTGTAGCACAAAAGATAATTAAAAAAAAGATTCAGAAAATGTTCTGATGATTACTGAGGAGCTCTTTATTGTCAAAAGAAGTGACTCATTGCCTGTTTGATTTTTCCTTCCAGGTCTGTAGCAAATGTTTGCTTCCATTCTTTTGTAAATTCTTCACTGCCAAAACTGAGAGAAAGAATGTTGTTCCATATCTGGGTATTTAAAAAAGAAATAAATTATATTTTACAAACTAAATGTTATTACCTGGATTACACAATTCCAAATTAATTATGTAATGATTTAGATTTACCTCAATTTCTGATGAAAAATATGCAGACAGATAAGCACCATAAAACAACCTGTTCTTCAAAGTTTGACTCATGCATCCCCTCATTATTTTCATGGCTTCCGATAGAATCTGCATGCGCTTTTCTTTCTGCTGGCCTCCGCGGGGATCTTGCTTCACCTTCACAGTAAACAGTTCAGTTGCACTCGTAATTTACAGGTAAGCATTAGCATACTAACATACCTAAGCTTTCCTCAACAGTCATGGTGCTTTTCCACTGGCGTAGAGGAACCAAACCGTAACCAAGCCGTTCTGCAAAGACAGACTAGTTACAGCACAGTTCCAGCTCGTTTTGGTTTTCCACTACAGAAGGGTGAGCTCAGTAAAGGCGTAGCCAGAGTGCAACAGTGACGTAAAACCACTTTTATTGTTATGATCTTTCATTTTTTAATATTCTTTTTTATTAGTTCTCTAATTTTCTCCCCGCACTGCTTTGCTGTGTGACATATTCCCACAGCTTTGAGTGTGTTGGCAATGTCCCGATACACCTTTTCATCTCTGACTGCACTTGCCAATTTGGTGTCGGCCGATCTGATCTTCTGCCTGTATACAAAGTTGTGCCTGTACCTCTCCGGTCTCCCATTGCCCAAACTACACATCTGCAAAAGCCAGAGTGAAAAAGGTATCTTTCTGGTTCTCGCTCATCTCCGTGCATTTCGACCAATCAGATGGTGGTGACCTGACCAGCCATGTCAGCATGGCTACAGCTCACATAATTTACAATGGAAAACCAAATCTTTGAGGTCCGGCTCGGGTTCGGCTCGGTTCGTGGTGACAGTGGAAAAGCATCATTAGACGACAACACTTTCCAGTCGTCGACAGTTCATTAGAGTTTCATCTACAAATTGACAGAAACTTAGAGTAAAAATTGTTCACATTTTTATACCCTTGTCATTTAAAGAGATGTATAAATTTTAGTGGAATCAATTTCAAGGGTTTTATCATCAGGTTTCACATACCGGTGTCTCATAAGAATGGCCGAAACTGGAAACAGTCGCGACCATGTTGATGCAAGTCACAGGAATTGTGAAATCCGTGGTATATGATGGTGATTTAAAGCCTGTGCAGATCTTCTCGAGAACTTTTACAGATGTTGCTAAGCACTCTCCTCTATAATCCTCATTATGCAAACTATATACAAATGAGAAATAATACAAAAAAAATTTAACTGAGGAAAAAATGGGGTGAAGACCTTTCCTCTAATTCTGAAAGAACAAAAGTAGCATCACAACAGACACACTATGCCTAGTGTTGACCAAAATATATTCAAAAACATACTCCATAGTATGTATATTAAACCTGTCTTTATAAAGGTTTCACTGAATCAGCAAGTAAATTTTTGTACATTTTTGAAATTCAGCACACACACACATCTTGTTCAAAGGGTTAAAAATACATGCACATTAATAATGTTGCATTGAGTTGAAATAAAAAGACATTATTACCTGCCCTGTGGTTCTATGTCAATACATTTGATCTGAATGCATTTCAGCAAATCTGATATCTCCTGCTGGAAGAAAAACAAATCTTAAGAGCGTCATTAATTTAAAAGCAAATACGTAGATAATACCAATGAAACATTCAAAACCTACCTCAGAATTCAAATATGTGATTATTGGAGGTGCTTTAAAAGCAACTAAATGAAGAAGTTCCAGCAGGTCAACTGGTATGTCGTTCATGAACGGCACAAGGTGCTCCAGAGTCATTAAGGACATCCAGGACCGAGGCAGAAGTCGGTCCATCTCTGTTAGGTGAATGTTTGCTTTCATGATGCGTAACATTTCCCTGTGAAAGGATAAAGTAACCAATCTCAACATGAACAGTACGTTATTTGTACAAGCAATACAGATCTTTCAAAATGATACCATCTAACTGTGACCTACAGCCTATATTATATATAGTACCGTTTGTGTAAAAAATATAAAATAAAATCTTGGCTGCATGTTTGGGTTTACAAAATGTGATGAGGTATGAAGAGAACATTTGAAATTTATTTGTTACCCCTATGAAGATAAAGAGCAAAAATGTGTTTATACACAGTTAAAAGCCCAAATAGTAACAGTGGAAATGAGGAGGAACCTCAGAGACAGAAAGTTACAAAAAGGCAAAACTGCACAAGCACCTGTTATCAAATCCTGCTAGAGCTGTGTCTGCTATCCTTAGACCTGTAAGTCCAGCCCACGAATTGTAGTATTTGTGGTTGTTTGTCAGTGGGACAGGTTCAAAGGGCTCAGACATTCGTTTCAGGAAGTGAAGAAGAGGAATCAGGAGGATCCATTGCAGAATTTTTTTCTCCCTCAACTTTAGAATTAGGTCAACCACCATTTCTGAAAATCTGAACGACAGAAAAAAATAAAATTAAAAAAAAATCACACATTTGCGGGTATGTAACATATGTAATAAGTAACAAAGAAGGCTGTGTACTCACGCTTCAAAAACTGAGAGAGGTTTCAGCAAATCTGTCCAATACTGCTGAAAACTTTCTTTTTGCATCTTTGGAAGGTACAGGGTATGACATAGTCGTGATAACTCTGCATGGTTTAGCCCGATTGCGTACTTCTGACAGACGTGAAAGAAAACCAGGCCGGCTTTTAAAGAGTCTCCAAAAAAGTGACTCTGTACTAGGCCGTCCTTCGTCATCTGAGGGAGAACATTCTGCAGCATGAATGTTTTCATGAGGTTGTTCACCTAGACAAAAGAAAAAAACACTCTGATTTGACTATTTGCTCTCCCAATTACGCCACGCCACAGCTCATCACAACTGGCAGCTTATGGCATTCAGACTTGAGCCCAAGTGTTTAAACAGAGCCCCCTATTTTAATGCAAAACATTCCCATTTCTCCCTACACAAATATATCTGGAAGGTATCGGTATGCACTCGTTTTGCCTACCCACCTCCCGTTCACCATAATGTAGCGAGTCCCATTTTTTGTGCTTCTCTTCATACACAAAGGGGTTTCCATAGACTTGATGAAACTGCCTCAACTGGTCATGGAAACTCTTCAGGTTAGCATCACTCCAGCTACGAAGCAGGTCAAAGATTGTATCCAGCATGACCTCCCCCGCGATGTTCCGACCATCAACAACCTTCGTCTCATTCTCGGCCCAGAATGCATTTCTCAGGCGGGTTAACACTCCTTTCGAAGGCTCAATGCAGATGATGTCGTCATACTGGTGCCATTCACCTGAAAAGGAAAATCACCAGTGTGTCATTTTAAAGGTGTTTTAAACACTGTTCTGTCCTTAAAATACTTCTTTTGAAATACATGTCATATAATTACCATACCTTCCTCGTTAAGCAGATGTTCCTTGACAAAGAGACACCTGTCGACATTTCGTTCTGTATCCGATTTGTAGATATACTCAAACTCTGGTTTTTCTTTCTTGGCTTTCCAAACGACGTATTTGTAGGGTATGGAAACAGAAACTGCCTCTTTTGTCGTTTCCAGTTTTCCTTGTACAAGAAATCCGTGCTTTCCCAGATCCCTGCAAGGGGTGAAATAACATCTTATTTCACAATACTAGTAATTATACAGAACTGCAAAAGACCTGCAAGCATTTTTTTTTTTTGCTTTACAGAACAGGATCAGAAAAAAAGCCTCATTTTCAACATAACCAGATGTGCAGCCTCTTGCAGCTGCTTGCCTTTGACATTAAGGAACTAACGGCAAATTCCTGTCATTATACAGCACTGGTCAAACGTCTGTGTTACTTATTCTATACATGGTGGTCAAGAATACTTACCGAGTCACAGAAAGTTCGGCTGCGTTTTCATCCCATGAGCCAATAAGTTTACCAGCCCTCAAGAAAACTTTGTCCTCTTTGGGGTCTATTTTGAAATCTTTAGACAGGACAGCATGGAAGTAAATAGTGACCCTTTTCCCCTTAGGAATCGGCTCACTTCCAGTGAAGACTCTGAAATTAAGGACATACGGATACTTTGTCCTTTTTTGAAAACAATAGCACCGTTTAATCTGGTAATTGTGCATTTACTACATTTTGTTCACCTCAGATTAACATCCTGATTGATTAAGATGTTTTTTTTTTTTTAATTCCTTCACAGAAATTCTCAATGAAAGCTCTTGACAAATAGCCATTAAATTAAATATTGTAGAATTTGGTCAATTGTTCACTCTTTTTTTTGTCTTTCGGCTACAAACTGAGACGTCACCTCTCAGGCGGAGTCACTTCTGCCCTCTTTTTCTCGCCCTCCTTTTTCTTTTTTTTGGCATCTTCCCGCGGTTCCTTCTTGGTGTCCTGAGCAGGGCTTGTTGCTCCCTGGGACTCTCCTGTGGCACTGGCAGACTGCTGGACCTCCATCTTCTCAGTCTTGGTCTTTGGGTCAGTGTGGGACACCACACCCTTGGCCTATTTCGAAAGAGAAAAAAAATCAAACTAAAGCTGAGGATTTTCTTTGACAGAGCAAGAATGAAAGTCTCTTTTCTCAAATAACATACAAAACAAGTTTTCATTTTAAGTACTTTGTTATTATTTGCTTTTTGACTTCAAAATTATATTTACTTTTCATCTTCACAACATCCAGATTGAAGTTCTGAGAGAACACCCTACCTGCTGCTTTGTCTTTGGGCCAAAAACCATCTTTTGCTCTCCTCCAGCCTTCGTTTCCTTGTTCTGTTCAGCAGCTTTTGTTTCTTGTCGCGTCCTCCTGGGCACATCTGCACTTGGGTCCACGTGAGCCTTCTGGTCTCTGTTCGCCTGCTGCGAGGTCCCTGCTTCCGGCTCACCCCGGCTGCTTGTGTTCAGAGGTTGACTCTGACTTGGTTCTGTTTTCACTGTCCCTCCAACTGGACCCATCTTATCTTTACATTCTACAAGATCCACCTGTGTTTAAGGCAGAAGTGTGGAAGATGACCTCAACACCTCAACATCCGCCCAGAGTTTAACCACAGGTTATTTTTCACATTATGTTATACTAGAATTACAAAAACTAGCAAAAAGCAGTAAACAAATACAAACTCTGTTCCTACTATTTTCAGCAACGCCTTATCCAACTGAAATCAGTTTAGGCATAAATGTGTGAAAATGCCCTGTGATTGGCTAGGATCTTTGGCAGTGGGGGAATCCCTGCCGATTGTGAAGTAATGAGTGGAGGAACTGTGCCACTCTACATTTAAAACACTGGAAGCCACAATACTTTTTTTTTTTTTCTTCTTGAATTACTTCCATCAGACTAATTTTTATATGTGGGGGGGTGGGTCAGAGGGTTGCAAAGGGGCGGAAAATTGCCAGAAACTTTCCAGACACTTTCCATTCCATGGGAAGTTAAGCTGGGAAATTCAGAGTTGGAAACTTTCCATAGGAATTAACAGGAATAAATGGGAATTAACGGGAAAATTCCAAGAATTTTGCAACCCTAGGTCAGACTGACCTTGTTTGTACCCAGGTCAGGAGCCAGAAGATGATCACCAACATTGGGGCCGACTTGCTCCCTCTCAGTCTGACTTTTCTCTGACTCATGTGCAGAGTCGCCAGGCAACGCCGGCCCCTGATTGACATCTGCCTTCTCCGCCATGCCAGTCTCAGCAAACTCACTCCCCTCTTGCAATGAAGATAGATCAGAGGAGTCCTGCAAAGAGTCCTGTGTCTCATCCACGTCAGTAACGCAGCTCTCACTTTCAGAGGACTCATCGGCCTTGTGCGTCCCCAGCTTTTGGTCAGACAGTGATATTTCAGAGAGTTCAGAGGTCACTGCCTCAGATTGTAAAGGGTCTAGTTCCTCTTTCTTTTTCGTCTTCTTCTTGGTCTTCTTCTTTTTTCTCTACATTTTAATGTCATTTTGTGTAAGTTTTTTTGCATAGCTTCACTTTCAGATATTTAAAAATAAAATTGCATATATTAATTATGAAGCTATTAACAAGATACACACAGGCCAATTTAGGTTTAACATGCGGTAACATTTGACGTTATTTACTACCATTCCATCATTTTGAATCACTGTTTCACAAATGCACATTCAAATATGGAGGAAAAAATGAAAAATAAAAAAGTGAATTATAGACCAAACAAAGGCAATTTCACAAACCAACAGTCCGGCATTTAACACAGAGTGTGTCGTACCTTTTTTTTGATGTTGCTGCTGGGTTCGTCCCCAGACCTTTTTGAAGACGTGTTATCAGCCTGCCTGGCTATGGAGACTGAAGCACTTTCTGTCTCCTGCTCCGTCCCACTTTGTACCTTAACCTCACCAGCCGGGTGAAGCTGACCTGGGATCAGTAGAAAAAGCATTCATCACATAAAATATTTTTGGGTACTACGGAAATTATGGTCCAGTGTTTCCCAACCCAGTCCTCGGAAACCCCCAGAGAGACCACGTATTTGCTCCCTCCCACGTATTTGCTCCCTCCCAGCAAAAATGGGGACTACCTTGTGGTCCCTGACCACTGTTATAGTCCAGTTTTCCAGTTGACACAAATATTCCACACTTCAATGACATGTAGGCAATTACAATCTGGGTGGCATTTCATTGTTTTATAAAAGATGTAGTTGTGATGCCTTCAGAGACTGCTTGTGTTATGCTTAGGAATGATCTGGAATGCAATAACCATACTGCGCTAGAACAGCATGATAAAAATAAAGCAACAGTCGAGTGAAGACAATGTTGGGATGGTGAGGGATTTCCCTACTTAATTTGTAGCTATTTAATTATGTTCATTTAGTTCACTCATCTTTCATATTTCTTATTTTTATATTTCTTTCTGTCCCTGCTACTTGCTCATCATGTTCTTTGCCTCTCATACAACTTGCTCTCACCAAGGCCGTCTGACCCCCCGGCTCCAGGAGTCTGTATGAAGACCATAGATAAAGGGCCTGAGTCCCTCAGGGGGGGCAGAGACAGACGCAGACAGACACTAAACCAGCTGTGTGTGAACATCTTACTGTAACATCTTCCTTCTGTCTTAAACTGCTTAAGCTTAAGGAACCTGCCTCATCATACAACTCTAAAAGAACCTGAGGTTTCACTGAAGAAATCTATCAGATGGTGATAGACAGAAAGATTTATATAGGGGTGCAAACCTACTAGAACAGAAGACTTAGAGATACAGTCTCAACAAAATGAATAACAACATGTGCTGACTGCAAATAAAGCACTTAAAACATAAGTACCGTGCATCATTTCTGTTGCCAGGACATGATATTATAAAATTAGATACAAGAGAGAACAGTAAAGATAAAGGTACTCGTATGTAACGGTTCTTATTTTTAACTTCATGTAACAAAAACACTCTGTGGCATCCTTATCGTATCTTTACATCACATATAGAAAATGATAACCCCAAGCAACGCACTTCTATGTTTAGTAAATTGACTTATTTATATAAGTAATTGGAAAGCACTGTGGCAAGCTAAAAATGCATTAAGAAGGTACTATTATTTTTTAGTTTTTTGTTGACATGGGCGTATCAATTACCTGAGGCGCCGGCTTCCTGCTGACGAGGCAACTTCTGGCCACACTCACTGCAGAATTTGGCCGACGGCTCCGTAACCATATGCTTACACCCTGGGCACTTCATCTTTAAATATGACATTTAAAAACAGCTTAAAGTCAGAGTTTCTGCAAGTCTGGCAGAGCGAGATATCACGTGCGACACCGTCCGGTTTCACTTTCATTTCCTAGAATTCTACTAGCATGATGTGACACGATTTAAACATATTCTAATTGCACTGTTTACCTGTTTACTAATTTTACAGTAATAAAATACGAAATTCAACTTCAGGTAAACGGCAATAATACGGATTGTATTTGAACACGCAACACAAATGTCGACTTCAAAACGAATGCTTAAATTAAGTTTCATAAACGTACCTTGCACTAGTCGGCACTGATTGTGGTTTACTTGCAAAAGAAACAAAATTAAACAATTTTATCACTGACTGGGCCTGACTTTCTTCATGAAGTCCTCCCGATACCTATTTCCCGAGGTGGGATATAACACGGCGAAACCTCACTGTCCAATAGGAAAGCGCCATCAACCAGCCAACCAATCGCCGCTCAGCAGTGTGTGTCTCAACATTTACTTCCTGCTTTGCATCAGTGAGTGAAGTTACGTTTTCTTCCTCGTCCTTTCTTTTTTTTTTTTTTTTAGAAAATATAATTGGGTATTTATTGGCACTGGGATATACAACGTGCATTACATTAAATCAGACACTCAGAGATAGCAGCCCCGCTAAAATGTTGACCTTAACGGGTTGGATGTACGCGAGATGCCTTTTGCAGATGCACAAGGTTAATCATTTACACTAAATGACAAACATCTCCAGAAGTCTTGCCAACTACCAAGATATTACTGTCACAAGACGCCAAACACATAGATCTTGCAATAATTAAAAATGCTGTCAATGCTGAGTACAATTATAACTAAATCCACTCTAGAAAGCGTTCCTGTTATCTGAAATAATATCCAACAGAAAATAAAATGCAGCGAAAGCTCAAGACGTAATGCGCTTTAAAAGAAGTTAATTCATTATCGCTAGTCATTCGTAAGTAAAAGCTAAACACACAGAATAGTCAAATGTCCTGATAACCCACCGTGTTTTCCCTCGTTCCAAAATAAAGGATCCTTCAGTGCGGAGGCTTCCTCCGAAGTCCTCGCTGCCAAACATAAGTTTCATTTATGAGAAAATGGGCGTCCCCAGTCCTTTTGCTTTCTTTTTCCTGAGAGTCTTCAGTTTGTAGTCAGCACCGCGTGACCGATAATCAATAAGCTGCAGACGGCAAACCTGGTAAGTTTGCCAGTTGCTTATCATGTTTGATAGCCGTGTCCTTGTTACAGTCTTTGATCTATAGCATATTTGATCTTATGTTCTGTCGTGCTTTCAAAATACTATACTTGGGCAAGGTGAACGTTTTTTTTTTTTAGTCCTATCCATTTTATTATAACGAATTACAATAGCTGCATGCCCATTTTGTTAAAGACAAATTTTTACGTGCATGTAATATTTTGATTTTATTAATAATTTAATGCTTAATGATGCGGTTTTTGAAGCGCCTACGTGCCTTGTGGCAAACTCAACTTAGGCATTACGTCTTACAAAGAAAACTGTAACAAAAGGACAATTAATGTTTTATTATAACATTTGCAATAGACTAACCTAGTAACGGCAGCCCTGATGTGATTTCTGACACAAAGTTGAATCATCCTTATTTCATTTTGCAGAAGCAGTACTGTAGTGTTGCAGTGATGAATTTTGTGTTAGTATCACTTGCCTTTGTTGCATGCTCTTTCTTGGAATAATTTACTTTTCATACAAGTATATTGCACAATTGCTTACCAGTTTGTTTTCTTTAGGTTCGATGGAGTCCAAAGTGTCCCTCATTGCTGTGATTTTACCTGAGGCTGAGCTGAAGTGCTCCATCTGCCTGGATATGTTAAGCAAACCGGTTACAATACCTTGTGGGCATAGCTTCTGTATGTTGTGCATCCATAAGTACTGGAAAAATCACACCTGCCGCTGCCCCCACTGCAGAAAAAACTTCATGACGAAGCCTGTGCTATACTCCAATACCATGCTGTGCTCACTGACAGAGCATGTGCTAAGGGGCAAAGGCGGTGACCCAGCCTCACTGGTGGCACAGGAAGGAGACATACCCTGTGACGTCTGCAACGGGGCTAGCAGGCTGGCAGCCACGAGCGCCTGTGTCACCTGCCTGGCCAACTTCTGTGACGTGCACCTGCAGCCGCACCAGGACAGCCATGCCCTGGCCAAGCACAGCACCTGCAGCCCCATCACCGACCTGCAGGGGGTGCTCTGCCAGCATCACGGCAAGCTGCAGGAGTTCTTCTGCAAGCGCCATGGGGTCCTCCTTTGCAGCCTGTGCCTCACAAAGCACCGCAAGTGCCCCAGTGCCACAGTAGAGCAGATGAAAGAAGCCTGGAAGGTGTGCAACATTAACCACAATCCCATTTTAATATTGTCATTGTCCAATGAAATGTCCACTTTTTACTATACTTTTAACTGGTTTTTATGTACTAGATAACATTTGTATCCATGATTGTGGTTTGTAGGGATTACTTCATACTTTACTTCAAAAGTTTTAAACTAAACATTAATAGCTAAATAATATCATTGTTCATAGTAAATATAAAGCCAGATCAGTTTGTGTCATGCTGACACTGATATTTTTGCTTCTTTTTCAACAATCCATGTAAGTCCATTTAAAACATTAAACCATTCACCAAGGGCTTATAGATTATTTCTATTTCTGGTGCTGTGTGTCATTACATTTTTTTAAGTTTACTTTGTAAACTCCTGAAATAATGGATTTTTGGAGATACCTGTTTTTCATTGGACAATGATGATATGTAGCATGTGTGTGCGTCACCTTCAAAGTATCCATAAAATTTAAAGGATTTTGCACATCTAAGCACCGTCGTACCTTATTATTGCCATACAATGAGCAGCAGTGGAGTGTCACACCTGAGCATGTCTACCACTCATTTCCTTATTATCTGTTTTCCAGGCTGGAAATGATTCTCAGCGAGAAGCCGTTCAAAAAGGAAAAGACCGTATTAAGGGACACCTGGACCACCTTCAGATCATTAGCGAGGGGTTGCATGTAATGTGGTACCAAATTAATATTTTCACTGCTGAATCCATAAGTTGGTGACCTTTTTGATGACAAACGTTGTGGTGACCCATCAGGAGGAAGCTGAGCTGATGGTGGGAAAGCTGGCCATGCACTTCCAGGGCCTGAGAAAAATCATTGACCATGCTGAGGAACAGGCGATGGCCATCATGGAGGCCGACAAATGTGAGGCCCTGCAGAAAACTGCAAAGCTCCAGGAGCAGCTGCTGAAGGACCAGGGGATGTTAGAGGCTCTGGAAGAGGAGATAGAGACGTGCAGCTCGGACAAGAGCTACTTCAATTTCCTCCTGGTAACCTGGATTCATGGAGTAATATTTCATTCAAGTGGGCCATATATTTTCTTAGGCAAAGAACAGCCCTGGTATTGGAACTAATATCTTGCATCCATCCATTTTCCAAACAGTTATCCAGTACAGGGCTGGGGGGGGGCTGCAGCCTGTCCTAGGCAGCTTAGAGAAAAGTAGGGGAGCACCCTGGGTGGGATGGTAGGCACTGCAAGACACACATACGCACACTGTGGGCAATTTAGAGACCCTAATGCCTTCAGATTGCTGGAGTACCTGAAAGAAACTGACGCAAAATAGGGATAAAAGGCAAACTCTGGCCACGCGATCTCTGGGCCGGGATGGGATTTAAACCCCTCGATCCCGGAAGTGTGAAGTAGCGGTGATACCCACTGAGCCACCGTGCTCATCCTAAATGAGTTTCCATAATCTTTTGCAAGGTTTAATCCTGATACCAATTCCTCCTAGTAATACTGATCAGTTTTTTGACCATCTGGATTCTGGCTGGGTTTAGGGCAGTGTAGCAGAAAGTGGGTGAGTTACCCAAAACTTATCCATACTTTATCATATCCTTAGCATATACCAAACCTGTAATGCCCAGATATTCTCCAGAACACTTTTCCCCAGTCACTTGCTCAGGAGGGTCCATGATATGCACTGCGGGTTCAGGCCCTGAATCCAGTGTCCTCTTGGTCACCAAGGAAAAGTGTCAGCAATGGTGACAGGATTCCTGCCTTCACAGGCACCAGTGGTGGTACCCCAGCTGCAGTTTCCCAGCCTGGACATCCTGCTGAATGGCCAAATCCTGGAGAAGATGGCTTCAGATTTGGATCTGCTCCAGGGTTACTTGGAGACCCGTCTCCATGCTGTGGTATTCAAAGAGGAGGATCCGCTGGAGAAAGGTAAGTACACATGCAGGAGAACTGGATGGATGAGAATGAGTCACCGGGCAAAGTGGGGATATTGCACTGAAACGTGGCTCACTAGAATAGCTTTAGTTTGAGCCCTTCTACCCAATTGGTATGCACCACAATCATCACTAATCTTGAGTTTCCTCTTTGGTAGGAGATCCAGTGGGTGCCTTTCAAGTTGTCAGTAGACACAGAAAACCCAGAAACAAGCTTCTGAAATGTAAGACTGTTATTTCTGTTATTATGAGTTAGTCAGAAATGTACAGTGCCTACAGAAAGTCCTGGGACGCGTGCTTAATTCTGTAAAAATGTTGCAAATTCATTGGTTTCATAACAAAAGTACATCGGCAAGCAAAGTTTAACATCTGCATGTCTTTCGCACAATATCTTTTTGTTGTGTCGTCATTTTTTTGACTTACTCATTCAGTTCTATTCTTGCCATTTTGCTATTAATTGCAATTGTAGTCACTGACTCCCAAAGGGATACTAAACACACGTTTGGCGTTTTATGTTATTGCAACGGTATTAACTAATTAAAAAGCACCCAGTGAGATGAACTTTTTAACTGAGAACAGCTCTTTTAGAGCCAGAATTTTGGGTTTCAATTTATTACTATTTGAAATGAATGTTTTACTCAAAATTACTGGTTGTTTCTAATATGATGTATATTTTTGGTAAACACATGACTGAAGTAATGATTTTTGTTTTAAATATATATATATATATATATATATTTGTTTACAATATTTTTACTGAATTAAGTGAGTGCCCAAGACCTTAGAACATAAGAACCTAATAAATTTAACTTAACTAATAGGTCAGAGTTGTTAAAATCTTATCTAGCTCTGATTTAAAGGAACCCAGGGTTTTAGCTTGAGCTATACCTTCTGTGAGCATGTTCATCACTTGATGTCACATGGTGCAATCAGTTGGGGATGGGAGGGGCAGTTTTTAATGGTGACAAATTACATATAATATAGACAAAGGTGTGAATAATTAAATGTCAGGTCTTATTTAATATAGTGTTATTGTGAATATTTACTGTGTGACCTTATTGTGTCAGCAGGGGGCGCTCTGTGACTTTACGCAGGGTTTTTTTTCCCTTTGGTATTTATGGGCTAAACTTAATGATCTTGGTTACTGAGACGGTAACATTACCGTTTGTAATTGTTAAAGAGTTTTTTGAGAAACGTGTGAAGAACCTAATAATACACAGACAGATGTGACATGTTTTGAAAATATTAACTGATCTATTTCTTTTGGGAATTACACTTGCCTGGAAGATAAAATCCATCTCCCGCTAACTTTTCTGTAGATGCTTGCGCCTTGACCTTTGACCCCTGTATGACGAGTGCCTCAGTGACGGTCTCAGAGGATGGGCAGACTATCACAGTGGAGCCTAGCGGCCTGCTGGCCTGGAAGGACTACCAGCTGGACATGGAGATGGGCTTCCGGGTGCTGTGCACGCAGAGCTTCGAGAAGGGGCAGTACTACTGGGAGGTCAGCCCTCCCAAGAGCCAAAGCAGCAGTTGGGCTGTTGGGGTCACCTACAAGAATGTAGAGGACTACTATCGAACCTTGGGCCGGGACAAGAGGTCTTGGTGTGTCAAGTGGTGTGAGCCACAAGCGGAGGATGGGGAAGGAGAGGAAGGAATAGTAATCCAACACCAAGGAGCAGGTACTGAGGTTAAGGGTGGAGAGAGGTCTAGTCCACTAGAGGCAGGGACTCACTCCGAGAGCAGTGATGTAGAGGCAGGATGTAGGGGTGAAGTCGCAGTGCCCAAGACTGACAAACAGACAAACCCAGAGGGAAAGGGAGATGGCGCAAAGGCAGTAGAGACTGGGGAGGAGACTCCTTCCCAGAAATCCCTCACGGGTTTTTTTGCCATCCATGACAGTCAGGTGCATCATCTTTCTGAGCAGACCCCGGCAAAGATCGGGGTCTATCTGGACTGCGACCGGGCCTCTTTGTCCTTCTTTTCCATCTCCGGTGCCAAAGTTAGGCTCTGGTACAGGTTCAAGTTGCTCCTCCTAGAGCCTCTGCACCCAGCAATTTGGCTAAGAGGGTCAGAGGAAAGTATCTCCATCAATTTAGGGGTCAGAACAGGAGATGCATGGGCATGCAAGGACAGGGAGGAGTAATAGTTACCCTTACTAGTTCATATTTTGGTAGCATGACTAAAACGTTTGCCTCTATCTTCTCAGTCAAATTAATTCTATGCCTAAAGGATCATCATTTCCAGTAAAAGTACAACCCTGTCCATTTCTTTTAAAATGAATGGAACCATACAAAAAATGTTATAGAATTCAGGGTTGAGTTTTTTTTGTTCTATGTAGATCAACACACCAAATAATTCTGAGTCAAGTTGTGATTGTTTATTCCATAAATAAATATTTTCCAGCAGTTTTTCTGTTTGATTAACGAATTCCCGTGTCTGAAATTCCCTTTCAAAAGGAGATCCCCAGAGTCAGGGTGAGTTATTGGTCTCATGTCCTGCTAGAGAAGCATGTTCTGAGAAGCATGTTTGGCACCAGTGACTTGAGGAGATACATCCAGCTCCTTCCAAGTTTGGCCTCTGCTTCCCCCCCTAGTTCTTTTGCTGCTCGGGAAGTAAAAACGTTCAAAAACCTACATCAAAAAAATAAGTTAAATATTCTGAGTGTTTCCCAGTGTTTTTATAGATCTTTGTACACTTTTAGTGCGCTTGTATATGTTCATTATCCCAGACGCAGACACGCCTCCCACAATGCCAAGCGGAACGGCCCAGAAGCTGATCAGGAAGGTAACTAGGAAGGGCAGCAGGTCCATACCTGTGGAGAAGAGGAAGAAAATAGCTTGTGAAATGCGACCTCAAAAGGTTTTGTTCATATGAGGCCACTTCAGAATGGGTGGGTTGACGCAGCCGGGACCACAAAGACAACATTCATAACTGATCCTTTCTATGACGTGGCACTAGCCAACACCCACACGCTCGGTCCCTGGGAACACACTCACGTCGGTTCCTCCAGAGGTCTGGGAGCACGCGATGGTCTGCCATGGGCGCTACGGAACAGATGATGACAGCGGCTAACGACGCTTTGGGGATGTAGTGGAAGAACGGCATGAAGAAGGCCAGAGAGAGGAGCACGATGGTGCCTGGAACAGAGAGGAAGGACCGGGGGTGAAGAGATCAGGGCTGGGAGCCGACCACACCACACCTTTGGCAAACCAGCTTCGAAATGCAGCTCAGAGACGCAAAGCAATAACTAGTGCGGGATCTTTGAAAGGGGATGTTGACAGGCACCCGGACCCACATGGTCACATTTACGTCAAGCTTTAAAGCTCTTCAGACCTGGTTTGGAAAGTCAACAAAGGAAGCAGCTCACCGGTCACAATTCCGCCAGCTGGTGTACACACCCCAGTCTGCGAGTTCACCGCGCTCCTGCAGCCATGTTCATAAGAGAAAGTATAGTACAGTACCGTAATACACTTAAAAGACAGTTACTGAAGTGAATTTGTAATCAAGGATGTGTATTCAGATCCCAGGGGAGGCATATTAAGATGTTCCCTGTAAAGCTTCAGTTAATATCCATTTGTATAAATGAAGGAAATGTACCAATATTTATCTCTTTAAGCAAATGCATTTTACTATAGATTCTGTACTGACATCTATACTACTGACTGTAGCGAATTCTTAAGCTGGGGTTAGAGGAAACAACGTAACGTCCAACCTCAGCACCCCCCACAAAAGGTGTTTTGGGATGTGCCTTACCTGCCAAAGCTTCCTGTGACGGGATACGAAGAGACAAAGGAGCCCAGGATGTTGGTGAGGCCTTCAGGGGATTGCCGAGAACAAAAGGCAAAGAGTAAGGTAACCAGGCCTTTACGTATTCCAAGATGGCAGCATAAAAGCCAGTGAAGTGGCTCGGCTACGCACCGATTGAGAATATTTCCTGATTGGTGTCTATTCTGTAGTCATTCTGACTGGCTGGGAGAAAAATAGAGGAGTTGGTGATATTTAGATGATGAACAAGGAATAGATGTGCTGTACATGCACTCAATAACTTAAATATACAGTACAGCACATCTGTTCAAAGTCTTACCATAAGCCTTGGCAATGGCGATACTCTCCAGCAGACCCATCAGAGGTATGATCACCAAGCCTCCCTCTAAGTTCTAAAGGGGAGAGGACAGGAGGCCCAACAGGCACCATCAGGAGAAGCCAACATTGTAACCAGTGGGGACTTGGCCAACACTAGGCAATGCTGAAGTTTGTTACACGAAACAAGTAGAATTTATGGGCGACTCATTTCTCCCCTTGTGGTTCAGCGTTTCACCCTAGCCTACGTATCCCCAATACTCATGCCGGCTGGAGACGGCGCGATTTCTCAAGAGCTGCTGAAGACGCCACCCAAAGTCCACACACATCTCTGGTATACCTGCACGATGTCACTGAATGATATCACTGTGCCGTTGGATGTGGTCTCTGAGAAAGGAGGGGGCTTGAGAGGCGGGAGTCCCTGGGAGGCCTCTCCCGTCAAGGTCAGGAACTTGTAGTCAGAGGAGTCAAAGAACCAGCCGACGCAAGTGGCGATGATCACAACCAGGACGCTGCGTGCTGTGGGGGCACAGAGAGTGGAGGCCAGTCAGTGCAAGAACAACACCAGCCCACAACGTCTTAGCAGTTCAGCTTAAAGTAAATGACAAGACTTAATGAAGCTCTTCAACATGATCGATTTTTGCTATATATAGTGTCCAGTTCTACAAAGTATCATAATGAAACTTTGTTCATCCCCATGGGGAAATTTACCCCATCTTGCTGTGCATACAGGAGTCACAGTGAAGGGGCAGCCACCTTGCGGCACCCCCACGAGCTGGGGGTTAAGGGCCTTACTGAAGGACCCACAGACATGTGACTATTCTGCCAAGGCTGAGCTCAAACCAGCGACCTTCTGATAACATGCATAGAGGCTCGACCCACTGAGCCACACACTGCCCCCAATAACAATACAAAACCAAAGGTCTGACGCAAGTCTGACCGATTTAGGGTTGAGCGTCAGCGTAATACATACAAAGTCACTTAATCGGTGAGGTTAAGTACACTTTCTCTTCAAAGTATACTTCAGCGATAATGGTCACAGAGGAAAACTTGATTGTAGTGAACATAAGCAAAGAAGTTAACCCAACACAATAACCAAGAAGACACTAACCTGTTACAAGACCCCAGATCAGGCCTTGAAGCCGTCTGCTGCCGGAAACGCGGTCATCTGAATTCTGACCAGACGACTTAAGCCACTTGGGCAGGAAGACTAGCATACCAAGGCAGAGAGCACCCATGAGGATATCGCCAGGCCTGCAAACGATGAGGTGGTTGTGCGTTCACTGTACAACCAGAGTCTTGATTTTCAGAGATTTTGTGTGATCTCAAGCATGGGTACCTGGCTTCAGGAATCTTCATGCAGGTATAATACATTTGTTCGAAGAACTGTTGTGGAATATCTTCAACGCCAAGAAGATTCTAAGCACACAAAAAAACAAAATTAGAAGGGATTACCCACATCACACGAATACAGGTGATTCTCATCAGTAGGGACCATGTATCTGCATCCAGAATGTTAGCTGGATTCCAAATGTGGAAGTCAGTTCTCTGATAATCGCCCTCACCTTCAGCTGCCCAAAAACAATAGTAACAGCAGCCGCACAGGTGAAGCCTTTGATCACAGAGTCAGAGATATGATCCAGCAGGAACCCTGTCGGACACAAACAGGGAAGAGGCCTGAATGAAACTGTACTGTCACAGAACAAGGAAACAGGTCTGTAGGAATGTAACAACCCAGTGGCATTCTCAAAGACAAGTAAATATGCAACCCTGCAAGTTCATAAATTACGACCACAAATTTAATTTATACTGACATTTTAATTAGGGAACCGTGTTTTCTCCAATCATGGTCACAGAGTTGGGTAACACTGAAGTAATAAAAATACTTATGCCGCATTTTATTTAATATTCAGGAAGCTTGTGGAATTATGCCTGGTCTTTCAATAACTACACAACGCACAGTGCCAATCCATCAAGATGAATATTACCCTAAACCCACAGCTAATCAGTGCTGGGTCTAGGAGGCTCACTACAGACATGTCCGCTCTGCCTTACCCAGCCTCAGGAGAGCCATGATGACCTGGATGACACCACAGAGGAAGGTCAGCAGCACGGCATGTCCTGGGTGGTGGCCAACATGGGGAGCGCACAAGAGGGACATGATGGCCGTCGGACCCAACACCACATCCTTTGATGTTCCAAAAATGCAGTAGATGAATCCTCCCATGAAGGCAGAATAGAGGCCATACTGGAGAGAGGAGTTTGGAGAACCAGTCATGTATAGAAATTAATTCATAATTTTATTAAGAAAGTACAGAAAATAAAAATCCAGACCAAGACTTTGTTTCAACCAGCCAGTTGCATCCATCACAGATACTCAACTGGTTGGTTGAAATAAAATCTTGGTGTGGATTTTTACTTTCTGGACCTGAATTATCACCTCTGAATATTTTCTTAATGTGGCACGTTGTTCAGCTTTTAAAATATAACACAACATTTTTGTGAACCAGCACACTGAAACTTGTGTTCAGGTCTACTTCCAGTCCCATGCACTTCTACCATCCACTATCCGCCTATCGTTTACGAACGTTGCAGACGGAGCGGCCGCACGTACCTGTGGGGGCAGGCCCACCACCTCGGCGTAGGCCAAAGCCTGAGGAACAGTGGTCAAGCCCACAGTGAATCCTGCAATAAGGTCCATCTGGAGCCAGCTGTACCTGTACTTGGGCAGCCACCCCAGGACAGGCAGGCAGGCCTTCAGGGTGCCATAAGTGGGCCACAGTCCCACCCGGCCCCGAGGGCAGCCCCCAGTCACAAGTGGAAGGTGGAAGTCCGACCCATGATCCATCAGCCTGAGCGCTGCTGTGAGCCACAAAGTCAGTCCAGAAATAAGCTATAACACTTAAAACAGATTATTACTCCTTACTTGAAGTTTTAAAAATCTGGGGAAAATAACGTGAAAGGCATCATCATAGAACTTGGAGGAGGTGCTGTCACGCCGAAACGTTAAATATACTGTCCGTGTATGAACTGTAATTTGAGTTCTGGTGAAACAAGATATCAGGATAATCCAAGATGTTGCAGCGGCAGCCTCTGGGCGGCGGGCAGAAATTCATGAGAAGGAGTAAAGCGGCACTGCAGAGCGGAGAGCTTCGCCACAGATACAACGCAGCCCATAAGCAGTCAAAGTTCACAACCCATAGATATGGGGTATGGAGGACTCCATCCTCTCGGCGAGCCAAAACACAACCCTGCGCTTCCACATGCCGAAGTAGGGAAAAAAAATCAACAGGTGTCTTTGGGGCCAAAGTCGTCCGTCTTCGTTACCTGAGACTGCCCACGAGCTTACCTGTAAGGGCACACATGCATACAATACCTGCTTTAAATACACATATCCTACGTTTAAAGTTTAAACATTTCACTGCTGTTGGCTACCTATAACATAAAAAAATATTAGCATGCAGTTATGCAGGCTAATTTACTACTTCCGAAAGAAGAACATAAACAAAGACGATTCTAGGGACACTTGGCAAAAAAAAAAAAAAACTCCATGGGACCCTTGAACACACCCCCACTCGATACGGTAAAAATTACGACCATTATTTTAGCGTGAAGTCTAAATTAATAATATCGACAAAGAGAATTTAATAAATACAAATCCTTTGTTTCCACTTTACTGTGGAAAAACAGAATGCACAAATAAAGAAGATTTGTCGTTACAATGAACTATGCAATCGGCCGGCCTGGGGGAACCGCTCCCAGCCCGGGGCCCCAGGCAATTGTCTGCCCTGCCTGTCCTTCCCTTATGCCTCTAAACATAAAAAGTTAACGCCAATTTACAGAATGATAACCTTATGTTACAGTAATCCAACGTAATCTAAAGCGTTCTTAATTACATACATATTTCAGTTACGTACACTCGATCAGATCCGAAGCAGGCTACGCAGTCCAGCGCCCGGTCGCAGTCCCTAACAGCGCGTCAGGTGCCGATAAGTAACGCTTTCGTTTCGTCTCAGCTTAAATCCAAGCTCAGTGACGTCACGTGACTGAGACGGGCGTGCTGCCCGGCTTAACCTGTCACATTTAATTCCGGAAGAATACTATTTACGTCGATATACGGGAAAAACTTGCTCTACAAGACTTGCTGCACATTTGTTAGATGCTTTAAATTTACACTGCCGTAGGAGTAAAAAAAATACTTATTCATATTTCTTAAGGCCTTACTCTTCAGTAAAATCTTTGACATCTTTCTCGGCACGAGGACTGCAAATGTATTTGAAAGTGCACTTTGTCTTTTATTCGGGTAATATGTAAATGTTAGGTTTAGAGAAACATTTGTCCGAACATTAACAGTTTTAATTTATGTATATTTTTGGGGAAGCTGTAACATCATTAAAGTACTCACCTTGTGCAAGTGTTCGACAGCAATCCCGGATCTCAACCAGGCTTCTCCGGAATAGACCGGCCACGCCCACCTATGATGGTGACAAAGAGCGCTGTTAGTTTAAGCAGTTTCCATTACGTACTTTTCCTGCTTTAAAGCAGTGTGGCACGAAGAGCACACGTGAAACATAAGTGATCCTCCCCGAAAATTACTCGGTCTAAAACACCGTCACCTTGCGCTATGTCGAATGAGGAAGTCATACACCGAAACTGGTCTGTCGGCTCTCCAAGGCGGGACCATGTGCTGCTTCCGTGGTGAAGACCGGCCTCTGTGAGATTACAGTGCCCGAGTCAAACCGATCTTTGATCACCAAATGACACCCTTAAACATTTGAAAAAAGTTCTTGAAATTCTGTATTAGCCCATAATGTGTGCCGTTATACCATATAACAGCCACATGGTGGCGCCTAAGGACAGTCAGGCGCGTAAATGCAGCGTTTTGATACAATGGAATATTAGTTAACTTTTAATAAAGAACTAATTGGACTGAAATATCTCTCCGTTTAAAATTGAAAATGGAATTTGAGTTTCATTTCTATTAAAAAGCCCTTGCTGATTAATTTATGGTTATAAGAATGTACTGATCGAAATGTTTAGCCTACATCAGATTGCATAAATCCAGCAACATTTAACAATTGCTTTCTTTCATTTTAATTTTATTTTGAATTCTACAATTACAGAGACTACTAAATAACTTGTTATAAATATACGATTAAATGTATCTTAGTTGTAACCACGGATCGTAACCATGGCCTGGCTGGGTTGGGGGCCAAATATGATATGTTTTCATTAGGGACCAAAATCTCTATCGGCCCCACTGTTAGTACCTTACATCACCATGCATTATTAGGCCTTATAGCATGTAATATTATTCAGCGTCTATATACTGAAACTGAAACATACAACAATCCATATCAGACAAATTTTAAGGTGAGCTACACTATGAAAAGGATGTTAGATTAAGAAGAGAAGTTTAAATTGGATGGAACTAAATTTCCTTTTTGTGTTTATGTGTAGTTTTTTGAATAAATTAATTTTAAAACCACGAATAATAGGTAATAATTACTGTAGTGGATAATTACAGTTTATTATTCCATATTTAAAAGAGATTAGGCCTACTAATGTGGCAATACATGAAACACTTGAATCAATTTCAAAATTCATTGATTAATGATGCCTTTTATGTTTTTTGATAACATGTTGCTTTGTAGTAGATAGGAACTTTAAAAAGTTGTTCTAAAAGTAGCCTACCACTTCTGAAAACATTTTGAGAAATTGACTAGTGATTGAAAGTTGCCAATGGGTAGAAGCATGAAAAATCAGTAAATTTAACCTAATTTAAGTAAACTTCACCGGTGTGGTGAAAGATTTAATGTGCTAGGACTGTCATAATCCACTTAACAACCGCTTATCCTGGTTCAGTGTCGCGGAGTGGGGGGAGCACAAGGCTGGGGTGCATCACTTCACGGTAGGACACATGCATACACTGTAATGCACTATTTTACAGATGCCATGATGCCTTCATACATGTCCTTGGACTGTGGGAGGAAACCAGCGCAATACCAACAAACTCCTTGGTGGTGTGAGTCAAGAGTGCAGATGCAACAACTACATCTACTTAGGCAACTCCACATGCAAGCAAGGCTAACGTGTTGCATCAAATTAACAACAATGGCTTTTGGGTTAACTCGATGTATGAAGTGCTGCACAGGACCAAATCAATGGCAAGAATTTGTAGGATGCAGGAACAACGTTGCTTTTGCTTTGCAATTTATGTGCAATTAAAACGGGCGTCACAATCAACCTTACAATCTGAAACTAAAATACTTTGTGTATACATAGAAAAGGAGAACATGTAAGTAATGGTTAATGGATTGCAGTGTAAACGACATACAATAGTGAAATACTTGCTTTTTTGTTGAAGTAGCCTATTTAAACTGACAATTATGTAAATTGTTACATAAAATGTTTAACTGGCCAAATATCCACATTCTAGTTAGCCCTTTGTGAAGACCTATCTATACACAGTGGTTTGATTTTTAAGTTCAATAGTATTTTGCTGGAGGCTTCCACGGAAACAAAAGCGCAATGGAAATTGCTTATTGCGGAAGTTGTCAATCTTCCAGCAATCAATCGTTGTAATTTTAAATGTCAGTCAGTATATTGGTTGCAAAATTAAACACGACCCAGCAGCTGGGGGGTTTTTGGATAAAAATCCAAAAAAAAAGGTCACGATAAATTATTTGTTTTAGTTGTAAGACTAAAATACTCAATCAAAATCTAGCTAAGCAGATCCTTTTCTTTAACTTTGAAACATTTACTGTTTCTATTTAAATCCAGCGCTACAAAAATACACATTAGGCGAGCATATTAAGGGGGAAACTATATTCTCACCTCCTGGCTAGGTAGTTACCTTACTTCACCCCCAGCTCCCAGAATAATCGATACACGTTTCTTTTCTCAGAGGAAATATGAATCACCAACTCCGATGATCTTGACGAAACCTGATTACGGACAGGGGGCCCCTATATAAGCAGCGACATCGCCAAGACCACCGCGCTCCTGCGAATAAAAGTTAGAGGCGCGGACACCCGCAGACATCGGAGCGATCGCTGCACAAGTCAATCGTCATCTGCCATGGAGAGGTCTGTCAGATTTACCATAGTTTTAGTGGCCATCTCGCTCCTACTTTCTTGGAGTCCCACTGAAGCGTGGTACAAGCAGGCCACCGGGCCGAGTTACTACTCCGTGGGCAGAGCTTCTGGATTGCTGTCTGGCATCCGCAGGTCTCCGTACATCCGGAGGTCTGAAATGGAGTCTGGTCTGGAAAGCGAGGAGCCCGATGGAAACAACGCAATACCCGGTTCGAGAAGCAAACAGAACTCGATCCTGAAAAACATAGTACGTATTCTTATATTCTTATGCAACTTAACGTTTACAGTAGAAGTAAGATAAGTAGCTTACCTAAGGTATGCATTACAATTAACAGCACAAAATGTATTTCAACATTCAAATTTATTTGAAGCTAAGTTTTAATTCCTTGTGTGTAACTGTTCATGTACGAGGTTTAAAACAAGTTCGCATCTAATTTCCTCGCTTGTCATGCATCCTTCCATCCATACACCGATTATCATCATCACAAGTCCTTGCTTATCCGAAAGACGAAGAAAAAAACCCGCTTATTTATTGTCAAAGAAAGAAGCGTATTCGGTATTTTTCAAAACCCCAGCAAAAGTAACTGTCACGGCAGCCGCTGTCCGTTCAGCACCTAAGATAGATCGAGGCCCCCGGTCAACATCTGCCAATGTAACAGTAAGAGAATAAAGCTCAGATTGAAATACAGGCTGTTTGGATAACCGTGATGTATTTCGGTGTCTCCGCAGGCTATATGCGTGAAAGATATTTCACCGGACCTGGAAAGTTGTGCGGCCGTAGAGGGGGACAGCAGCACTTTTCAGTGCAAGGCGGACGTGCTCTTATCGCTGGACTCTCAGCACTGCGTGAGAGCCTGATGGCCGCTCAGCCCGCTGTACTCCGCTCTCACCGTCTCGTACCTCGGAATAAGAAACGGGCGGCGTACGGACGGCACTGAATTTTTCCTCAGTTTACACAACTGGAAAAAAAGCAACGAACTTTTTTGCGTTTTGCTAGCCGTGTTCTTTTGACGTCTCCTGATCAGCTGTATCACCACAATTTGTTACCGCCAAATGTATTAAATGATTGATGGGTGGATCTTATTGGATTGTTTTTATTACTAGTAGATAGTCCAGTCTACATATCAAGCTGATAATGGGGAGTTTGAATTTCTCAACATAAGTTGGATCGAGAATTTTGTCGTTTGCTCTGTAGGTCTTGAAAGTATTTTGTTTTTAGAGTTTTAAATATTCTTTGAATTATAATCTAAGATTATTATGTAGTTATATTTACTTTTATAAATAGTTCAGAGAAAATGCAATGTTTAAACGACAGCATAACTCGTCAATGCAATATTTCAGTTAAAGTGTTTCTGTAAATACATTTATTGACCAATTTGCTGGACCAAACAACGTGTAGGCCTACCTTACATTTATTCTGATACTTCACTATAGGCTAGTTACTTACGATCAGTCTTTAGTTACGCATGTGCATTTCATTCCTAAAATTCCTTCATCGTATCGGTATCTGACCTGGAGCGCTGTGTGTCTGATGGTCTAATTGGTAACATTATGTTTGAGGTAAACGTGCAGTGAAATTTGTGTATAAAAATCTACCAAAAGTTACAATGGAAAAATAAAGTTTTAAATGAATGTTTCCTGTTCAATTCTGGTATAGGTCTATTAAGATCTATAGACGCTCAAAACATACAGTCTTACAGTATAATTTGCTGATTGTACCGAATGTCATTTGTAGTACTTCTAACCGAATAGGTCGAAAGACATTGGTAAGCTGCAGACATATTATTAAAAGGTTACAAAACGATATCCAGAAATAACAATCCCAGATCAATAGAGTTTAGCTTTCAGCCCATAGGAAGCCATGAGTAGTTTAGAGAAGTAGTTTAAGGGCGTGCTTATTTATACAAGGAGAAGGTTGTGCAGCCCAGAAAAATATAACAGACGTAAAATACCACGAACACTGTAACAGAAATAACATGCATATATATTAATTAGTAGATACCTCCTCCCCAAAAAAGGGGGAAAGGGCACAAACGAATAGAAATGTCACTATGTCACTCTTATCCTGGTGAGTCTGGGCTCAAGATGAGGGCGACAACCCACCGATGGTTCAAAGACAAAAGGGGTTTATTAAACAAAAACAGGACACACTGGGAAGCCACAAAATAAAGGGAACACAAGGGGTCAGAACTCAGGAAAGACAAGTAAAGAAACTATAACTAAACAAACTAGGACAGACCAGACAACACAGACAACAGAACAAGAAAGGCAAGCAGAGCAACTACAAGGAGTGACATAGTACAATGACTGACTACAGACCAGAGCAGATGCAGTAACCAGCTAACAAGAGGTAACCAGCTAATGAGAGAACAGGTGTGACACATGAGAGAATTATCCAAATCAACATAGTACAAGGGAACAGGTGGAAGAACTTAACTAACAATGAACAAGCACAGGACCTAGGGAACTTTAACAAGTACCAAAATTAGGAAACATTACTACACACCGGGAATTAAACAATAGGACTATTTATGTAGAACACAAGCAGGGCAAACCAACTACCAGAAAACCAATAACACCACAAAAACAGGGGAAACAGAAACCAATAAATAATAATATAATTATATAACAATATTCTGAAGTGGAATCACATGGAAGACTGATAGAGATAAAATTGACACAAAACAAAGGACACTCGAACAAGAATAAGAAATCTAAAATATGAATCACAGCTCACTCAAGTTACTTGAATAAATAAATAAAGACCCGAGAGTGAGGTTTATGATCTCCAGAAATGCAGTCTCACACCAAGCCATTAACTACTACATCAAAGATGTCTGGCTTTAAGGCATACGTCAATGTCCTATCGAACATGGGAGGCATGAATCACAAACACCCAATTATTACTGATGTTCACACACAACCCTAAACCCTCTCAAAAGGTTTGCCACTTGCCGGAATCGTTAATGGACCATTCACAGCTGGAATGCTGTCTGAATTTTGTGCGCGGGATTTTGTGTGACAAGGAAGCTGTTCTATTATCTCCTTCTAGGTGCACATTAGGGGCATGGATGCCCTGGCAGATAAAGGGGGGGTGGGCAACATTTTACAGGGGTTCTTGAATATGTATAATTATACGTAAAATTGGGCAGGGGGGCCCAAGGTGACATTTTGTAAGGGGGATGGATTTTCTATCTACAGTATACCGGTCTCCATTTTACATAGAAAAACACAGAATCAAGGCCCTCAGTGATAACCTCAAGTGTCATGATCTAATTTTTGATCCTTACACATCACCCCATCTGCCTACCTTTTCCCCCCCAGTGCCTGGACTGCGCCCCTATGAAATCTGAGGCTGATGGGCACTGTATCGTTCACTGGGGTTGCTGTCAGATTCAACCCACACTTCCTGAGCTTCACTATGTTCTTTAGTTTTTTTTTTTTTTTGGGGGGGGGGGGGGGGCATTTTCCATCCCCCTATGCCTCGCCACGTCACTGGGGCACAGTTGGGCAGAGATGTGCCACAGAGCTCGTCTCATACTTAGTGTCGCAATCAAGAGCCGCGAGTGGAGAAAGGCCATCTCATTAAGGCATGCTTCGACCTCAGTGTGGCAGTGGGTGGGACATCAAGCATTTCTTGAGGGTGCTTGCTGTCTGGCTGATTAACAAAAGACCAAGGCTCTCCTTCAAAAGAACACTGCAGATGACAGGACGGAGACCTTTGCTCCTTGGAAACCTCAAGGCTCCAAACACTGGAACACTGGTGATGACATCACTCATCAATACTCCAAAACATTCACAAGCTTATAATCAGAACTGGTCTTCATATTGACATTTCATTAACAATTCATTATCAACCTGAGTTAGACTGTCAAAATAGAATACCAAACTCAACAGAGTAAGTAGGTTCCTGATAAATTGGTTTAATTATTTTTTTAAATTACTAACATACTTATGGACTTTGAGCCATCATAATATCTCAATGGATGACATTTGCAATTTTGTCTTGCAGTTTTTCCTCAAAGGTAACGTAATTGTGCAAGGCATTAACAATGCCTATCGATACTGAGATGGATTCTGATTCATGACAACTAATTAATGACAATTTTCACCAAAGAATCCTACTTTATGACCAAATCATGCATTTAACATGCTGTTGAAACATAGAACTGAAAAGGGAAAGCCCAAACCTTGCTTCTGCTAATGATTCATCACCTAGAGCAGTTTAACACTTAATTTGTCCCCAATTAGCCATTAATAGTTATTTAATCATACCATGTGCAAAATCAATTTTGTGTTATATGCTGTATCTGTAAGCTGAATGGGCCAAAGTTATTAAAAAATAAATGAACCCCCATTAATTCAATATCATTTTGGTGGCACGCTTTTGATTAGAAAATGAACATTTTAGCAATAAATCCACATCTCTAATTTAAGCAAAAATACTTAGACGGAAGCAAAACTGGAAATGAGCGTGAAACCAACACCAATTAAACAGGCTTGTCAAACTGGTCCAGCACCATTACCCACCACAAACCTGGAGCTCAGCTCTGCCTTTGAATTAGGAAGAATAAAATCAGCAAAAGGCAGCAATGAAAGGAAGCCCATCCTGGGTTGTTCCCTGCTTTGTGCTCATTGCCTCCATGACAGGCTCCAGACCCATCACGACTCTGAATAGGACAGTGGGTTGTATGAGCTTGACGATGATCTTCTGTGCTGGTTGGTCAGTCTCCTATAATCATGCATGCTTCACTAATGTTAATGTCAAACAGCTGGATGAGTCTTTCAATCAAGGAAACAAACCAGTCAAAGAACAAGAAGAACTGAACTATTTAGTCAAGCACAGGAGCCTTTCAGTTTCAAAGAAGTTTGTAAAACCTGAAGTAGCTCAAAGCATCCTTGCTGACATGGATTATCTGGTCCTGTGTAGATGTTCTCAAGTAGATAGTCAACTGTTCAGCCTACAAGGCTGTTGATTCTAACAAAAGGAGGAGATTTCTGACCAGAACAATACTTCCTATTCCATACAAAGGGAAGGACTGTGAAATGGAGGCTTACAGTATATAGCCAAAACAGTGAGTTATACAAAACAATGAATAAGCCTACATTAACTTGGCGGATGTCAGCCAGTGGTTGTAGGTACAGCCACACCGTAGACAAAGGTCATAGAAAGTGAATGTGACAGGAGGTGAAGGCTCAGGTTTGTTGGCTCAGAGCAAGTGATCGATCACTCCGAAGATAAAACTGATCAGTTGTGCCCCTTTTCTCTGCCCTCTGCTGGGGCAAACTGGCCAATGTGCCCGATTATTTCTCTGAGAACAATTATAATGGGTACAGAAACCTTCACAACATGGAGGGGCAGAGAAATTTCAGGGAGCAGGTGCTTGACTGGGGGGGTAGGTTTGTTCCCCCACCCCACAGTAACATTTAAAATTTGTGTGACCAACAGTGTTCGAAAAAGGGGATTCCCTCCCCCCTGCATGACCTTTCTTCACATATCTCAGCCTCTTCAGCAATCAGAAAGGCCTAACCCCCACATGAAGTCTGCAAACACCCATAACATACAGCTCTGGAAAAAATTAAGAAAAAAATCTGCATATTTAAACCCTGGTTTAATCCTGGTTCGGCCAGCAGAAGCCTACAAGGCCGCTTCCAGACACCAGTACACAAGAACAAGGTGAAGCAGGAGACACTGGCAATAACCAAAAACCAGGCAGGTAGATGGCAGAAGCAACTTCCTATTGCCAGAGATGACTGTCAACTTATCCGGCAGTGCTTCATAAATCGGAGGATGACCTCAAATGACCTTTAAAAGGAAAAGGAAACATTAAGTGGTGTGAAGTGCACTGCTAGGACCGCATCAGGCTCCTAGAGGCAGGACTGAAGACCTATAAAGCAAGGAAGAAGAGCTTCATTAATGAGAAGCAGGGAGGAGCCAGGCTGGAGTCTGCAAAAGAATATATATTATTCACTGATGCACACTAGAATGAGACATGAGTGAGACAAAAAATTGTGCTGTGGTCTCTTATTTGTTCACATCCGTATTCAGTATATCTGTAATCTAACTGTGACCCTGACCTGCCCATACATTGCTGCTGCACTCTTTCAGCTCCCATTTTCCATTATATTTGACCTTGATCTCCATTTCCAGCTGTAAACCTGCCCAATGTCATTATAAGGTATGAATAAATCAGGCCTGATACTGGAAGCATCCTGGCCGTGCCAAGTGCACGTGCAACCGCAGCGCCAGGCTGCCCATCCCGTGCCTCTGGAGTCCTGCATCATAACTGCGGGATTTAAAGGAGGGCGCCCCCACCTGCTTAATCGGCTTCAGACCAAACACCCCAAAAACACAACATAGAACTTAACGAAAAGAGAAAATCATCAGCATCACCTTCTAAACAATATTTCACTGATACCTTAATATGAGCATTACTGCGGATCAAATTATAGGCAATTCAGTTTCAAGTTAAGTTATTAATAACTTTATTTTTGTGATATTTGGCTACTGCAATTGTTTGGTGCCCCATCTTGGCTCAAGTGGGTTTAGAAAATGGATGGATGGATGGATGGATGGATGGATATTTGGCTAGCCGTCATATTTATTAGTCACTCAAAGGACAAACACCTGACCTT